TTCTCCCTTATTGGTGAAAAGAATGGAACATTCCAACTTTGTCTCCTCTGCCCTTGGTTTCCCAGCAGGCTCAGCTCAAAATAAACCTTGAGGGAAAAGCTGCTCTTCCCTCACAAAGCTCCTCTTGTATACTTTCTCGTTCTTCCTCAAACTCATTTTTTCCCCATTCATCTTCCTCAAGGTTTGAGTATTGTAGGCATCCCAAAAGAAAACCTCTAACTAACTGGAAATATTGAACTCTTTCAGGTGAAAAAGCTCCAAGCGGGCAGAATCTTCCTCAGGTCTTTTATTTTTCTTAAAATGGGTTGTGTTCTGCCACCCCCCAATTTGAAGAGTTAATTCACCAATCTGCCAGTCATACATTTGGAGTCATTCGCCTTTTGGAAGTTCTTAGAAACATGTTGTGTGGTTGTACAGATCACTAAAGGTAGAAAACGAGAAAGGGCATAGTTCTGGAGATAACAGTTTGTTGGCCACTGTTAACTAGCGAGCCTGCTGCCAGAGCTGGGAGAGCCAGATCAGAGCCACAGCAGCTTTTCCTGAAGCATCTCTGATCCTTGTCAGGAGCAAGGGCCTCTCCCAAGGCTCCCGAAGCAGAGGAACCCTTTGGAGGCTTTGGTGCGGAGTGTCCACGGTGGTCTCACTGTGGTCTGTAGGGATGGATGGCGCCATTGTCATTCCACTGCAGTTGTTGTATGGGAAGAAATGAACTGGTAAGGAGGCCGTTGGCCATCTGAAGACAGGACAAAATAATGAAAATCTATTTATGCCACTTGACCTATTGAGTCAACTAAGCCAAATGGCATCTCTCAAAAGGCTCACTTGCGTTCACTGTAGGATGGATTAAGTAGGATTGCGCCAGTGTTGCCTGTAGGAACACTGGAGGGGATGGAGGAGATGAGTGTGAAAGACAAGATGAAGAGGTGCCATTCCAATGGTACATCTCCATCAAGGAGTCCAAACAGTTCACAATGGAGAGAAAGTCATGCAGCTAGTAAAAGATCGGAATCCCCAATTTTGTGTTGCATTGGAATGAGGGGAGTCCTACCAGCCTTCAAAATCTGGAGCTGAGCTGAGCTGTTCTGAAGGCAACAACTGTGGAATGCAAAGAGCAAAAAGGAGAGCGAGAACACAGCATAAAGGAAAGTATTGAAAATTTGCTGGCTGGAAAACTACCCTCATGCTAAAAAAAACAAAAACAAACACCCCATAGAAACACCAGGCTGTTTCTTGTTGTAGTTACTGTATTTCTGCCCTGGAAAAATTTTTTGAAAGCAGAAGAAGAAAGGAACACAACATAATTAGGAACAGGCCACCTTGAACACGTTATTCTAACTGTGGCTTTCGTTTGGGTAATAAACCCAGGTTCTGGTTCAAATCAGCTGGTCCTACTGTTTGCTTCTGTCTTGTGCTTCTGTGTCAACAGCTACATGTTGACACAGCAGCCCAAGTAAGTGAAGGAGATGGGCAGAGGGGAGACTGCTTCCTACTCAGAACTGGGAGAAGCGAGGACGGGTTACTTACGTGACCTAGAGGAGCTGCTTACCCCTCTAGGCCTTAATTTCTGTATCTATGAAATGAAAAATGACATTTGATAGAATCAATAATGAGAAACTTTCTAAAAAAAGGTAAGAGTTTATTCAGGAAAGATAAAAATATTATAAAATTTCTTTCTTTTTTTTTTTTTAATTAAGAAACAGTAACCCAGAGCAGCTTTTTAAATCTTTTACTCTGAAATTAGATTTTGGGCTTTGGGTTGCCCATCCCTGGACTAGACAATAGCTAGTTTCTCTTCCAGGTTAACGGGTTCTTGGGTTTCTAATGGAAGTGACTTTTGTTGACTGATTCTTCATACCCTTTCTTAGTCAATTCTTTCCTGAACCATATCATCAGAAGGCTATTTGGCCAGAGTGTTTTCCATTCTCAAGAGGCTCTTGAAAAACTCTTGGTTACAATGATATTGTCCTATTTTATTTACACATACAGGTCTTACGGGCATTTGTCCTAGTTTGGCAAATACTACAGAGCGAAATCAATATATATTAATAATTCAGCAGCTAAAAGCGTGGTTTTCAGAAAACCAGTCAGCAAGTTTTGACAGGTCACAAACAACCAGTCAGTTGATTAGGGCTGGAACTTCAAAAATGAGACGTGTCATCAGATGAAATGCTCTCGGAATGCGCGCTGGAACAACAGAGCCATTGCCAACACAGGTAGGAGGAGCCTACTGACATTTCATCAGGTGACATCTGATCACCTTGTCAATCTTGCTTTAAAACACTTCCAAAGCAAATAATTAGACAAAGTTATGATATAGGGTATATGCTCCGCAGGCAGAACCAAAAACACTGTAAAACTTTTCTTTACTAAGCCTTTGGGAACACAGTCTGGCAGTTTCTTAAAAGGTTAAACATAGAGTTACCATATGACCCAGCAATTCTAATCCTAGGTTTTTACCCAAGAGAAATGAAATCATACATCCACACAAAAACTTGTACACCAGTGTTCATAGCAGTGTTATTCATAATAGCCAAAATGTGAAAGTCAACCAAATGCCCATTCACCAATGAGCGGATAAGAAAAATTTAGTATATTCGTACATGGAATTGTCTGGCCTTAAAAAGAAATTAATACATGCTACAACACAAATGGATCTTAAAAGCATCATGCTAAGTGAAAGAGGTCAGACATGAAATTTGCATGCTGCTGTGATTCCATTCATACGAAATGTCTAGAATTGGCAAATCTGTGAGACAGAATGCAGATGTGTGATTGCCCAGGGTGAGCTGGGTTGGACTGAAATGGAGGTGACTTCTTTATGGAGTGACCAAAAATATTCTAAAATCAGATTTATGGTGATAGTTCTCTGAATATGCAAAGAACCATGGATTTGTACCCGTTACATGTGTGAATTGTATGGTGTGAGAATTATATCTCAATAAAGTCGTTACAGATTTTTAAAAAGCTTTTATAAATTTTTCTCAAAACCAAAACCAAAACCCCTAAGCCTTTGGTCTATCTGTGGTGCAAAAATACTGACCAGGCAGCAGAAGGTGCATTTTCTGAACAGATCTGTTTTCCTAGGGCAATGATACAGTTGCACAGTATATGTATGTGTGTGTATCATCCCCAAGCCTACCTCTCAAAACTGATACACTGCTAGAACAACCTATCAAATTATGGTATAACATGACACAGACCTTGGTTTAAAACTGTCATTGGTCACTTAAACTTTCTTCCATCTTGGGGATTCACAAGACATTTCTAAACCAAACACCTCTGTAACCTGGGGAGCAGATCAGCGATCAAAGTGTGGTACTATTACAGCTGATCACAGGAGTGTGATCAGCTTCACCCAATCACAGATTCTAAGCCTTCAGGGTTGTCCATTTCTAGATTTTGCTTTTGCCAATGAAAGGCAGCAATCCTGTTTTTTTTGTGGAGTCTCTGATCTAAACAGTCTTCCAGTGCCTCTTTATTTTCCACCCCTGTATATGGATCTGTACCAGAAGTTCTTTGTGATAACTCTGTCTTCTCACTGTGTCTCAATTGTAGAAATAGAAAGTTACTGTCTGACCCAGATGGCCTGAGTGTGGCTTTTAAACTATTTTTTGAAAGAAGGAAAAGAAAGAGCTAAAGTTGTTTTATTCAGTGCTTTTAAACTAACATGGTTATGGCTGTTGTAACAGTTATTCTATGAAATTTCCTTTGAAATATGGTATCTTCATACTTAGGAACTAATACTAGCCCACTGGGAGGATAACTCTAAGTTTTATAATGTCCTTTGGCCACAAGAAATCAAATTCTCCCTGATTTGAGTGATGAGTCATATCTGGTATCTGAAGGGTGGTCTGAAACAGCCAGCAGTCTCCTGGTGTCCATAGGTATGGGTGTGAGGTGGGTACTGGGCAGAGCGTGGCCTCTGGAATCAGACTGCCTGGTTCCTAAACTGGCTTCACCGTTCTGGGCCAGATACCTAACTCCTCTGTGCCTGTTCATATATAATGTGAGGGTAAAATATGGCAACCATCTCACAGAGATGTGGAACGATTAAGTAAATTAGTTGTATAAATAAGTAAAATGCATAGAACAGAGCCTGGCATATAGTAAACACTCAATAAGTTTTATCTGTTATTATGTGTCCTTATCAACCTCATTAACTGTTGGGTCAAGAGCACTGTTTATCTTCTCCAGAATCCTATTGCAAGGAACCTGGACTTGGTCCCTGAGAGCAAATAAATCATCAAGGACGGGGGCCCTGCCTGTGCAGTGAGGTTCAATTCAGACAGAACAAGACCATTTCCCTTCTTCTCTGAGGGGTCTGGTGCTCCCCTGAGTAGGAGGCCTCAGATTTTCCTGAATATATGCATTCCAAGTTTCTGAACAAGTGAGCACATCTCACCTTCAGTAGAATCCAGGGTTATGTCGATAAGTCAAGGCCTTTGGAGGGGGAACCCTGTACCCAGGATGAAATAAATCATTCAGCAGAGAAACCTGCAAGAGCTCCCTTGAACTTTGCTTGGTGCTATGACTTGTCCTGTTTGGACTTTCTTTAACTATAACCCAAAATCTTGCTGGCACTGGGTTACTGGATTCCAGAGTCTGATGTCTTGTTCAGCTGCTACGACTTCTATTCCCTGATGGCTTAGTTTGGTAATGACCCTGCCTATCTGCCCTCAAATTGCAGTTTGATCCCATGTAGCAACTTGTGCTGAATGCGATCTGGTAACTAATGTTTAACCTTGGCCAATATACTGTGCCTATGTTAATGTGCTCAACTCTACCTGTGCCCCTGTGGACACCTTATAAGTCTCCCCAGCCCTATTGGGACCCCTGGCTAACCCAAGATAAGCACCTTCTCTCTCCAAAGGAAAAACATAGGTACACAGAAACTAAATGATTTGTTTAGGGAAATAGAGAAAGACCTAGAAATTTAGCTGAGCCAGAATTAGAACCTTCAGATCACATGGCATCTGAAATACAGTATCCATAAGACTTCATTCTTACATAAAATGTGTTTTAATAAAATACTGCACATATATATATTTTTCTTTTTAAAGATATTATGGCCAGGATGCTTGGTGTGAATAATAATATATGGTGAACTATATAGTTAGTAGCAAAAACAAGGACTTTCAAATAAATAGGCTTAAACATTTTCTTTTTAGGACATGTTCTACAAATCAGTGGAGACTGAAGAACAGGCAAGGAGGAGTTGGCTCTTCCTCTGAGAATGTGCTCTTGGTTGGCTTGGGATAGAGAAAGGAGTCATATTTACCCCTGAGGCATCAAAAGCAACACTGGAGTGACCTTCTGGAGCAAGGAATCCTTGCCTCTCCTTGCCCTCTCCTTGCCTTTTTGCCCAAGATTTCAGAGCTTAACTGAAACATACAAAAGTGCAGATTTGCCTTTAGGCATCTGGAGCCAGTGGAAAATTCTAGGGAAAGCAGAGCTAGACTAATAAGGAGGAAGATCATGTGTGGTAGAGGGAAGCTGACTATCCCGCATGTTCTCGCCTTGTACCAGCGTAGGTCACTGCAGCCATTCGAAATCCTAGTAAATACAGTGACTACAGATACATAATAGAAATATATAAGAAGCAGAATTATCCCACTAACCGCTTATTAATTATACGTTAGGCTGGTGCTCCACTATTGAGAGTCCCTTAAAGATTCAAATATAATCAAAGCCATTTAGATATTGTTTAACATAATTTGCATGGCATGCAAAATATAAAAGATCATCCTTAATCTGTATCTTTCTTTCCCTATCAAATCCATTGCTCCTTTCTTCTTTTTCAGGGTGGGGGTGGGGTAAGGATGAGTACCGGTAGAAAATTCTCAGTTGGGACCCCCAGCCTGGGATTATGAGGTGGCCCTGCCTGGAAGTCTTGCTTTTGCATATCTGACAAATGAACAAGTAAGTCTTCAGGGAAAAACCCAAGAACAGCCAAGTTCTAACAGACAAAGCTTTCTCATACAGCCTTACTAGCTTTTCAAAAGACATTACCCCATCAAATTAGAATTGCAAAGGAGAAGTGGTTGGCCTGGGCTGACTCTAGCACCTCTGGCCCCAAATGGGCCGGCAAAAGACCTTAGCCACCCTCCCTCCTTGCCACAGTCAGTAACTTTAAATACTGAAGACTCCACATCTGTTACAAAGACTTCTTGTTTGGCTGGCCCAGGACCCGGCAGAGGCAATAGGGGATGAGACAGACAGATGCCAGGGGTACTGCTGCGCTCTTGCAGAAAGACAGGATGTAGAAGATCAGCTCGATTTGGGATGGGGGTTTCAAAGAGTCAAAGAGGTGCAGGAGGACGAGGGAGGCCACGATGCAGCTGAGGCGGAAGGGGAGCCACTTTCTAAGCTTGCCCTTGCTGCTCTCCCTGTACATGCTGGAGTTGAGAGCCAGTCCCAGGCCAAAGAGCGTCCCTAGGTTCCTGAGGAGGCTGGCAAAAGGCGTGGTGTCAATATGGACCCATTCTGGCCGCTCACACCACCTCTTGGCTTTCTCTATTGTCCACAGGAGGTCTACACCCAGCACCTTTAGCAGCAGGTAAAATCCAATGGCAAAACTGAACAGGAAGAAGGTGACAAGAAAATATTTCTTGAGGCTGGCTTTGTAGATGCTCTGGATGTGGTGGAAAGTTTCAGCAACAGCAATGCCTGAGAGGAAGAGAGAATGACTGTGAGATGTAGAGAAGGCTCCGGACCTTCAGCCACAGGTGGGTTTGGAGTGACATGTCAACCATGCTGCCATTGTGGAATTAAATCACAGACACTAGATTCGAAGGTCATCTGGTTTATTCCCATATGTGACCCCAGCATGTCCTCACCCATAGACTCTTTCAGACAGAAGGGTGTTACACACATCCTCCCACTGCATGCGTGGCTCCTGTCAGCGATCCCCATGTCTCCACCTGCGTTCCCTCGGGGGTGGAGAGCTCACTCCTACTCCGGCAGCCCATTTCATCTTTGAATGGATTTGATCATTAAAAAATTTGTCCTTCCAGCCCTAACATTCTGTGCTGAGCTGAAATCTGTCCCCCTCTAATGCCACCTACTGGTTCTTTCCCAAGGAGTTAGGTTGTCAATCGACAACCTCTTTAACACATTTGAAGATAGTCATTCTCCTCTCTAACCTCAATGTTCCCACGTCTTTCATGTGGCATAGCTTCCAGGCTTTTCCTCAAACATGGACCTCAGGACCGAGTGCTGGGTCACTTTTCTGGTGGCCATGAAACCGTTATCTCCCGTGTTCCCAATACTCTTCTTGGGATGCTGCTGTGCTCTGTTCTTACAGGCCTCCAGGAAAAACATTCTATGATTTCCCCAACATCTTGTATTATTCTGGCATCCCCCCCAGAGTCAAGAAATTTTTATACTTAAGTCTTGTCTGCCCCTTATTAACTGGATCTAAGAAAATACAAGTATTCAAAACTCTGAACCTATTAAAAAAGACCAACGAACTGTATCTGTTAGGTTTGCAAATGAATTTATTTAAAGTGTTTTCCTAGGCTACTATGTTAATGTGTTAAATTTGGTAGATTCTCTTAAAACTAAACTAAGGGCCCCTTCCAATTAAAGATCAGTAAGAAATAAAGATGATAAAAAGCTTGGAGATGTCAAGCTAATTCATTTGGGTGCATGATGCATTGCAATTTTTCTGGAACATATTTAATTATGTGTAGATCTGGGCACGCCTGTAGTCATTAATCATTTCAAATTGCCCACCCTTGACTTTCAGCCCACTGGAATGTTAACAGCCTTGATTATGCACAGACCATGGTGAGAATGCTAGGATTTTGTCCTGATTAGGGAAAAATGGGAAAGGCGAGGGGAGGGGAGGGGGAAGCCAGGGCAGCTGATACCTGATAAGACTCCAGCAACAACCTGATGGGGAAAATGAGCAGCCAGGTAGATTCGGGACAGACAGACGTTCAGCTGCACTGCCCAGAATCCCAACCACAGGATGACGTTCAAGCACCTGCAACGGAAGAGGCAGCCGTCCAGAACCCGGACACAGATCGTTGAGCAAAGAGAACGGCCCTGGCAGGAATGTGCAAGCCTGGCAAACTTAGGTGCTGCCAGAGGAATTTTTGTAAATTGAAACCTTTACTCAAAAGCTCAAAGATGCCTGTGGCACGTGGCGAGCCCTTACACATGTGAATCTTAACCTCCCTGTTTTATGTGTTTGATAATTAGGATTTGTACAGTGGCGGTAATTCCACTGTGAATTCCCAGAATTCCCAGAAAACCCAGTAGGAATGTCTTATATTTCTCTGTGATTTTAACCTGAATGGGGCAACTCTATGACTGGCAGAGAGTGGGTTTTTCTTTAAACCCTGCTACCACCTCACTACCTGACTTTGAGAAGCCCCTTTACCGTTAGGCCTTGTTTCCTTATCTGTAAAATTAGGGGTTGCTCTTGTGGGTCCCTTCCAGCCCTAACATCTGTGACTCTCACGTTCATCCACAGCAGAAATGCCACACTCTTATCAGTACCAACGCCAGGTGTCGGGTGAGTGAGGGGAATGTGAGGAAGAGCAAGTGGTATGTCAGCTGCACAGGGAGCCACCTCCTGTCCTCCCAGCCACACCCTGGTACTGAGTTCTTACCGAAATCTGTAGGTCAGCCTTTTCTTTCCGTGGAAGATAGAGAGGGTGGATGTGACCATCACATAGTATACACCAGCTGTACCCATAGCATGGCCAGAGGGACTCCCTAATGGGCAGGAAAGAGATGAATGAATGGACTAAAGGTGAAAAGTCTCCACCTGGAAAACTGCAAAGGGGAGTCATTCATTCATCCAACCCTCCATCCACCCATCTGTCTCTCTCTCCATCTATCCGACCATCCATCCATCCATCCACCCATCCAGCCAGCCATTCATTTATCCTGTAGTCATTTACTTAACAAATATCTGCTGTGCTCCTGCCAGATGCCCAGCACTAGGCTCTGGGCGTACAGTGGCAAGTAAAACCAGAGAAGGCCCTAGCTCATGGAGCTGTGCACAGTGCAGAGGTCACACACAGAACCGGCACACTGAGTGCACGACCGCACAGCCATCTGCCCTCTGCTCCCTCTCTCCCACGCTCTCCCCCCTCGCTCTGCTCTGGCCATGCCGGCCTCATCCCTGTCTCTTAAACACGCTCCTGTCTCAAGTTTTTGCATTGTTAGTCTTTCTGTCCAGACAACTCTTCCTCTAGAAATTTAACTTCTAATTAAATTTAGATATAATAACTGGCTAATTCTCTTGCCTCCTTCAAGCTTTTGCTCAAATCTTGCCTCCTCCATGAGTCCTACTCTGACCACCCTGTTTAATATGGCAACATTACATTCCTGACCATCCTATTTAATACTACAGCAATGCATTCCCGATCCCGCTACCCTGAGAGAGAGGGTCCTGAGATGGGCCACCCAGACCCCCTTCTGAACTGAAGGACTTACTTTCCCAGCTGTTGGGAGAGTGCTCACAGATGGCCTCTGCTCTCAGCTTTCTCCGGGCATTGCTCTGGGCTGAAGACAGCCATCTTGATCGGGGCTACCCTCTCCCTGCCATGTGGCCTGCACCCAGTCACTGGTCTATATTGGGGTATAAGGGCTTGGTCCCCTTGGCCCAATTCAGGGCAGCTCTGAAGGGCCATCCCCAACTTCAGAGCCATCTGTGGGGTTGGCTGAGACTGAATTGCAGCTAGACTTCGCCTTCTGCACAGCTGGCTTCTCTCTCCCTTACGTAAGTGTTCTCCCGCGTGCTAACCTCCATCGGAGTCTGCTTTCCAGGCAACCACATTGCTTGCCTTCTTCTCTTTCTCCTCCCTCTTCCTCCTCCTAATATTGCTCTTCTTCTAAATTATCTAAATTATCATCTTCCAATATCTTATATATTTTACTTGTGTATTATGACTTTGCATATCACACCCCCCCACTCAAATTTCAACTCCACAGGGTGGGGCTGTTTGTCCCCTGACCACTGAGGTATTCCAAGTATCCAGGACAGTGTGTGGTGCAGAGTATGTGTTTGAGAAGTAGCATTTGAATGAATGAATATGCTCTGAAGGGAACAAAAGCATTTATGAGAACAAATAACTACATCTGTGCCCTAGTTCGGGAGTCAGGGAAGTAGGGTCCCTGAGGAAGGGATGCTAGCAAGAAGCGCTAAGGGCAAGCGAAGGGGGATATTCCCAATACCTACTGGAAAATGAAATCCATCATTTGATTGAAGGATACCTATCTGGCTGTAACTAGTAAAATACAGGCAGGGTGCGGGACTGGACAGTGAGGTCAGGAGGACACATTTACTGGCCAAGCCTCAGAGAAGGACAGCCAAGGGTTTCACTGCCTTCCCTCCCATGGACAAAGGGCCATACCACAGTTACTCTCATGAGCCCTTGGTCCGTGATGGTGCCCTTGCCTCTCTGGACTAGCAGTTTAGTTCTGGCACATTAGACAGATTTCCAAAGTTAGCAGTAATGCTATTCAGGAAGGCCCTCTTGAAGTGAATTAAAATGGAGCTGTACAGAAGACCGTGGCAAAGCTTGAACACAGTGGCTCTTCTCACATCCCCTTGAGGCAGTGTCATCTAAAGCAGCTGTTAATAGGCGTCTACAAAGAGGGAGGTCCTGCCAGCATCTGTGCCCAGGGCGGGGACTCTCACCTGGTCCAGTCTCACAGGTCGGGGGGAACTGCCTGATCAGTGGTGCGGGGCTGTTGGTGTAGTAGTCGGTGTCCATGACCCACCAGTATGGCCTCTGTCCAAAGAGAATCCTATAGAAAATCAGACCAGGCTCTGGAGTTACTTTTGCCTGAAGCCCTCACCTTCAAGAAGAGAAAGTAGCTGAGGAGAAGGCCCGTGTGGTCCTGAACAGAAAACTGGTTACGCTGGCTGCCTTCAAGGAGAGGAACTGGGTGACTGGGGAGAGGTGAAGAGGGAGACTTTTCTGGTAGATCTGGGCACGCCTGTAGTCATTAATCATTTCAAATTGCCCACCCTTGACTTTCAGCCCACTGGAATGTTAACAGCCTTGATTATGCACAGACCATGGTGAGAATGCTAGGATTTTGTCCTGATTAGGGAAAAATGGGAAAGGCGAGGGGAGGGGAGGGGGAAGCCAGGGCAGCTGATACCTGATAAGACTCCAGCAACAACCTGATGGGGAAAATGAGCAGCCAGGTAGATTCGGGACAGACAGACGTTCAGCTGCACTGCCCAGAATCCCAACCACAGGATGACGTTCAAGCACCTGCAACGGAAGAGGCAGCCGTCCAGAACCCGGACACAGATCGTTGAGCAAAGAGAACGGCCCTGGCAGGAATGTGCAAGCCTGGCAAACTTAGGTGCTGCCAGAGGAATTTTTGTAAATTGAAACCTTTACTCAAAAGCTCAAAGATGCCTGTGGCACGTGGCGAGCCCTTACACATGTGAATCTTAACCTCCCTGTTTTATGTGTTTGATAATTAGGATTTGTACAGTGGCGGTAATTCCACTGTGAATTCCCAGAATTCCCAGAAAACCCAGTAGGAATGTCTTATATTTCTCTGTGATTTTAACCTGAATGGGGCAACTCTATGACTGGCAGAGAGTGGGTTTTTCTTTAAACCCTGCTACCACCTCACTACCTGACTTTGAGAAGCCCCTTTACCGTTAGGCCTTGTTTCCTTATCTGTAAAATTAGGGGTTGCTCTTGTGGGTCCCTTCCAGCCCTAACATCTGTGACTCTCACGTTCATCCACAGCAGAAATGCCACACTCTTATCAGTACCAACGCCAGGTGTCGGGTGAGTGAGGGGAATGTGAGGAAGAGCAAGTGGTATGTCAGCTGCACAGGGAGCCACCTCCTGTCCTCCCAGCCACACCCTGGTACTGAGTTCTTACCGAAATCTGTAGGTCAGCCTTTTCTTTCCGTGGAAGATAGAGAGGGTGGATGTGACCATCACATAGTATACACCAGCTGTACCCATAGCATGGCCAGAGGGACTCCCTAATGGGCAGGAAAGAGATGAATGAATGGACTAAAGGTGAAAAGTCTCCACCTGGAAAACTGCAAAGGGGAGTCATTCATTCATCCAACCCTCCATCCACCCATCTGTCTCTCTCTCCATCTATCCGACCATCCATCCATCCATCCACCCATCCAGCCAGCCATTCATTTATCCTGTAGTCATTTACTTAACAAATATCTGCTGTGCTCCTGCCAGATGCCCAGCACTAGGCTCTGGGCGTACAGTGGCAAGTAAAACCAGAGAAGGCCCTAGCTCATGGAGCTGTGCACAGTGCAGAGGTCACACACAGAACCGGCACACTGAGTGCACGACCGCACAGCCATCTGCCCTCTGCTCCCTCTCTCCCACGCTCTCCCCCCTCGCTCTGCTCTGGCCATGCCGGCCTCATCCCTGTCTCTTAAACACGCTCCTGTCTCAAGTTTTTGCATTGTTAGTCTTTCTGTCCAGACAACTCTTCCTCTAGAAATTTAACTTCTAATTAAATTTAGATATAATAACTGGCTAATTCTCTTGCCTCCTTCAAGCTTTTGCTCAAATCTTGCCTCCTCCATGAGTCCTACTCTGACCACCCTGTTTAATATGGCAACATTACATTCCTGACCATCCTATTTAATACTACAGCAATGCATTCCCGATCCCGCTACCCTGAGAGAGAGGGTCCTGAGATGGGCCACCCAGACCCCCTTCTGAACTGAAGGACTTACTTTCCCAGCTGTTGGGAGAGTGCTCACAGATGGCCTCTGCTCTCAGCTTTCTCCGGGCATTGCTCTGGGCTGAAGACAGCCATCTTGATCGGGGCTACCCTCTCCCTGCCATGTGGCCTGCACCCAGTCACTGGTCTATATTGGGGTATAAGGGCTTGGTCCCCTTGGCCCAATTCAGGGCAGCTCTGAAGGGCCATCCCCAACTTCAGAGCCATCTGTGGGGTTGGCTGAGACTGAATTGCAGCTAGACTTCGCCTTCTGCACAGCTGGCTTCTCTCTCCCTTACGTAAGTGTTCTCCCGCGTGCTAACCTCCATCGGAGTCTGCTTTCCAGGCAACCACATTGCTTGCCTTCTTCTCTTTCTCCTCCCTCTTCCTCCTCCTAATATTGCTCTTCTTCTAAATTATCTAAATTATCATCTTCCAATATCTTATATATTTTACTTGTGTATTATGACTTTGCATATCACACCCCCCCACTCAAATTTCAACTCCACAGGGTGGGGCTGTTTGTCCCCTGACCACTGAGGTATTCCAAGTATCCAGGACAGTGTGTGGTGCAGAGTATGTGTTTGAGAAGTAGCATTTGAATGAATGAATATGCTCTGAAGGGAACAAAAGCATTTATGAGAACAAATAACTACATCTGTGCCCTAGTTCGGGAGTCAGGGAAGTAGGGTCCCTGAGGAAGGGATGCTAGCAAGAAGCGCTAAGGGCAAGCGAAGGGGGATATTCCCAATACCTACTGGAAAATGAAATCCATCATTTGATTGAAGGATACCTATCTGGCTGTAACTAGTAAAATACAGGCAGGGTGCGGGACTGGACAGTGAGGTCAGGAGGACACATTTACTGGCCAAGCCTCAGAGAAGGACAGCCAAGGGTTTCACTGCCTTCCCTCCCATGGACAAAGGGCCATACCACAGTTATTCTCATGAGCCCTTGGTCCGTGATGGTGCCCTTGCCTCTCTGGACTAGCAGTTTAGTTCTGGCACATTAGACAGATTTCCAAAGTTAGCAGTAATGCTATTCAGGAAGGCCCTCTTGAAGTGAATTAAAATGGAGCTGTACAGAAGACCGTGGCAAAGCTTGAACACAGTGGCTCTTCTCACATCCCCTTGAGGCAGTGTCATCTAAAGCAGCTGTTAATAGGCGTCTACAAAGAGGGAGGTCCTGCCAGCATCTGTGCCCAGGGCGGGGACTCTCACCTGGTCCAGTCTCACAGGTCGGGGGGAACTGCCTGATCAGTGGTGCGGGGCTGTTGGTGTAGTAGTCGGTGTCCATGACCCACCAGTATGGCCTCTGTCCAAAGAGAATCCTATAGAAAATCAGACCAGGCTCTGGAGTTACTTTTGCCTGAAGCCCTCACCTTCAAGAAGAGAAAGTAGCTGAGGAGAAGGCCCGTGTGGTCCTGAACAGAAAACTGGTTACGCTGGCTGCCTTCAAGGAGAGGAACTGGGTGACTGGGGAGAGGTGAAGAGGGAGACTTTTCTGGTATATCCTTTAGATTACTTTTGAATTTGGAACTATTTGAATGTATTATTTATTCAAGCATAAATAAATAAATCCAAGATCCTAAAATCCAAATTAATAGCAGAGATGTGACATTCGTTTTAAACCCCAAGAAAAATTTGACTTGGAAGGATGCATATGGAACTACAGTCTGCAACGTGGACTTGCATGTCTTACCACATCCTTCTTTCTTCCGGCCTTAGAGAGTCTTGTGTTTTCCCAGGTGCCAGAGCATACACTCCAGCCCCAAGGACAAGCGGCCCCAGGACACGTGGCCTCCAAGGCCATCAGAATCATCTCTGTAAGGGCATACATAGCATCAGGTGCTTGCTTTGTATACTCTCTGCTTTGAAACAGGATATCTCAGAGAACCAATTCCCCTTTAAAAGCACTACATACGTTTTTCATTGTGGAAACAGGTGTCAGAGGTCAGCCAAGGTGCCTCCTTTTCCTTGCGGTGGTGGAACAGTGATTTCTCACCAAAGTCATGGACAGCCACTAACTCTGACCTCTGCCAACTCAAAGAAAATCCATGGTTTTTAAATTGGGATGGGATATTTGGAATAATCCTTTATCATTTTTATTTTTTAAGGTCATGCTGTTGAATAAGGGGCATTACAGACAAAACTTAGTAGATTTTCAACACAAACTTCCAAATCCCATTAACATGCCTTGGGCTTCTGAGCCTGATAACAATGTTCTTTTCTATGCTACAGGGCTTTTATTATTTATGGCCAGAGAATATTAGAGCTAGAAGAGATCTTAAGAATTGCCTGACAGTGAACATAGATAGTTACAGGGATGGCAAAGGTCTTAGAGGGCAGCTGGTCCAACCTTTTCATTTTCTAGATGAGGAAATAGATGCCAAACCAGTAATGAGCCAGAATCATTACAATTGCTGGTACTGGCCAACAATTGTAAAATATTCAAGATTTTTGCAAGCCAGACCTATCAGTCCTTTGAAAGTAGCCATGATGGGAGTACATACACAGTAGAAATTGGCAATCGCTAACATCAGGGCTTTCCCTGATCACAGAGTCCGTTTATCTACACTGGATCTCTCCTGGCTGTTAAGAGCCTCACCTCTGAAGCCAGCCTGCCTGGGCTTACATGCTGCCCTGACATTACTCCCCACGCTGGTCTAGTAGCTTAATTCAATATCTTGTCCTTTCGTCTGTAAAATTGTAGTAACTGCCCTACAAAAAAGCACACAGCACATGGCCTGGCACACACTCAGTGTTCAATAGCTGTTCACCATAATTATTATTAAGGTCTCTGAGATAATCTAAGTTTAGATTGTGAAACAGAAACTCAGAGAGTTGCTATGACTTGCTCAGGACATACTGCTGGTGTTTAGCCGAACAAGAGCTGGAGCCCATTTCTCTGGATTACTTCACATCATCCCACACAACAGGGTTTAAATTATCTATGTTTTATTTTTTCATACATCATCTATCTTCTTTCAAATATCTATCTTTATTTACCTATTCTGTTTCAAAATAATAAAACTGTGTTTCTTTGCTTAGCCTATACTGCAGACTTCACTAACCCCAGCTGGTCTCCCATCCATAGGAAACAGTCTTTCCTGTATCCTCAACTCACTGACGTGGGTTTCTCTGTCTTCTCTCTTTATGTAGATAATCCAAAGGCAGGAGGAGAGTGACCTGTGGCTCCGAGAACAGCAATGGAGAAGGCAACTTCCAGTGGACAGACATGTCCAGAGAGAATGCCAGCCTCTTCCCTTGCCGATCTGGGCTCTGAATGGCTCTTACTCACCACTTAAAGACGAGATTGAGCCAGTCTCCAATCACAGCTACCCAGAGGAGTTTGATGCCCACAGCTTCTTGAAGATGGAACCAGATGGGGAAGAGGACATAGAAGGCATTCCTGAGATCTGCGATCATGGACACCAGGATGAACCAGTCCTGGGAGTCCTGGTAATTCACCTGAAGGTAGTGCGTTGACTGGATCCCAAAGGCATGGAGAGCATTCATTCCCTCCTCCATCCTTACCGCCTGGCCCCTGGGAAGCCTTCAGCTGAGCCCCTGCAGTTGTTTCAGACTTGGTGGTGATTGCTCTGCTATCAGCCTGCGCCTTGCTCCTGTTTTATACACCTGTATCCAGCTTGCAGGTCAACTCAGCCCTGATCTTTGGACCCAAAAACCACTTTTGTCTAAAATCTATTGATCAAAGGTGCATCACCAGAAGGTTGATGCAAACATGTTCAGGGTGATTTACGTAAAATAGAAAAATAGGCACACAAAAACAGCCTGATCCACCATGTACCCTGTGTGCCAATTATTAACTTTGGCATGCTGCATGACAGGACAAGGGGCTGCTCTCCTGGCTCTGAAACTCCGCCAGAGACACAGGACAGAGTCTAAATCTGCTGTGGTCCTTGCATAGATGCCTAATTTCCTAAGTCTGCAACTGCACTTATTTGGGGATGAATAAAAATCTTGGTGCTCTAGCTATTCAAGTTTTACCTTACTCATTTTAAAATATAGTAAGTTCTACTGTACTGGGGTCTGTCACCTTGATGAGGTTTTCTTAACTGCACTAGGATCTAGGAAATGCCTCTGGTTTGGGAAATGAAACTCTCTTCCCAGTATTGGTGCCACATCTCTTAGGTCCAGAAAATAATCATCTTTGAATGCACTGATTAATTCATTCAATGTCCTTAGAGTTAGGACCTTGGGGTTTTTAACATAAGCTTAAGTAATGGAATGAATGTATATTCATGCAAAAGCAATATGACGATATGTGGTTCTAACTGAAAGCATCAGCAAACTGGTGAGGGAGACATGAAAGGACCTCTGTATTTTGAGGTTCCTTTCATTTGTACTTGACACACACACGCACACACGTGCACATATGCATGCACAAGTAATCGTCAGGAAGTCAGTGCTATTCTATTATAGCCATGGATGTAGACAAGGAATGAATAAAAGTAACAAATGCCAATAGGAGACGCAAAGCTGCCTGCTCACCCGTACAAGCAGAAACCCTCCTGCAGCAGTGCAGAGACCAAAACCTCACACACTTGGGTCGCCTAGAAGTGGGGAGGGCTTGGTGGCTGAATCAGGGGATGAACTGATACATTGTCAAGGGTAAGAGCTAGTGGGAATAAAGCTTTTTAAAACCTGCTTGAATTTCTCACCATTAAGTCCATATTCCCTTGTAAGGAGCAGATGGGAGACAGGCAAAAGAAACTCAGAGCTAATGAGTCTGTAGCAAAGGCTGACGGCATTCCAAGCTGGAAATGATTAAATACCTTCCAGGAGGTATGAGTTGGAGTCTCATCCCCACCTGCCCTGGGCTCCCGCCCAGCTCGAGCAGACCTGAGCTGCCCTCAACCGCATTGTCTCTGCTGGTCCAGGCAACCCCATCCTGACCCTTAACCTGGGGAGGAGGGAATGGTGATGGCAGTGGCCATGGGGGAGCTGCAAATAAAGCATGAACTTGGCGGTGTTACAGAGGAGTGTGTTGCACACTGCCAGGGTTCCTAAGCCACAGGTGGAGGGGCCCCCACCAGAAGAGATGGCCTCTTCCCTCTACCCAGAAAAACCTTCCTCGAAAGTATTGAGTAACTACTGTGGTGATCCCTGGGGACTCGAGTGTCTGGTCTGAGGTGAGTTGAGGGCAGATAGGGCAGAACCACTGATTAAATAGTCAAAGGCCACTGTCTGGGTCTCCACAGGGTTGCTAGGAGCCAGAATGTCTAAGTCGGGTGGGGTTTGGTCATGTGCTCAGCATGTGGAGAGCCAGTGGGGGGTCCTGTCTTCTGAGGGAACCTCAGGGAGACTGCTTCTGTTGACAAAGAGTTGTGATGGAGCTGGCACCCCATTCATGGCACACAGGGCAATGGGGGAGCCCCTCAGGCAGACTGCCCACCAGGCAAGGGGGCCCTCTTGCCGGAGGAATTGCGAGCATCATGAGACTATCTGCTAGTCTCCACCTTTCTCTCTTCCAGCCCCTTCCTGCTGCAGCCAGCAGATTTTTATCATGTGCAGAAACAAATGAGGCCCCAAAGGACCTGAGCAAGCTAGGAAGCTGACTGAAGAGAGAAACTGGAGTTCTCAAATCCTCTAGGGACTTATGGATATTTGGGGTGAATATTGTGAACAAAGCATTTGAGTTGTTGGAGGTTTTGGTGAGAATTCACTCATGTAAAGAACACTTTCCAGAGAGGGGATTCCATTATCTCCCTCTAACTCCTGTCATCTTCCCTTTCAAGAAGTTCTCCAGTTTAATCCAACAAACATGTCCTAAGCAAAGCACCATGCCTGGCTCTCTGAGGGATTCACTTAAATCCCAGTTGTCCTCTGCAACCTCAATAACTCAGTGAGGCAGAGAGGCCAGACATTTATGTACAACTAAGTCAACTGGGGGATCATCAGGTCAAAGCTGCACCTATTTGTATAAATGTAAGTGAGCTCCCTATTATTTTGTCCTCAGAGGAGATGACTCAAGACTTCTTAATGCCCACTGGGAAAACAACAGCTGAATCTGGGAAGCAATGAAGATGGCAAATGACACAGACCCCTCTTTCCTCAGGTACGCTAGCCAGGCACTCATAAGACACTTTCTCCCAAATGGAAATTCAGAGACTTGGGATCTTGGGTTGGGAAGAGCATGAAGGAAAGGGTCCAGAAAGTACAGTCTGGTCTGTTGCTAAATAAGCACAGCGGGTTCCAGGGTTCTGGCACTTTCTTCTTCCAGAGCAAGGTTGACTCATTCCTTCAAACAAGTTTTATTTGCTGATGGGGAAAACAAAGAGGAGAAGGAACCATAATTTACCACACACCTCATCGAAAAATTACAGTCATTACCCAAAAGAAATTCTGACTTCACCTGCATCTAAGTCCTCTATCCTGGCTGAGGCTCTGGGTGCTGTTGAGAGAGTTCAGCTCTTATCACTAGAACGAGTCTCGTCTGCACGTTGCAGCAAGGGTGTAAAATGTAGCATTGGTCTGAGGCTTTGTCTGAGCAGCAGAGTAGATTTCTCTGCAAGACATACAGTTTTTTTTTTAATTTATTTATTTTTGGATGCTGTTTTTTTTTCTACCAAGCAATCAATGGGGGAATTGTTAAGGGATAGACAGGAGACACAGGTCGAATCAAGAGCTGTCACCTTTAAAGCGAGTGACCCAGTCATTTTTTACAAAAACATGTTGGGAAAAGCAGGTGGAGGGAGAGGTGGATTAATGATTGTCAGCCAGGGACAATGGCTGACTTATCTCTGGCGCAGTGAGAAAGTTCAGCTTTAGGACCTTGAACTGTGCATCTATTGACCAGGTGGGGGAAGCATGGTGCATGTCTCAGGATGGGCTGGACGTTTTGTCCACAGAAAGGAAAATACCAGAGGGCATTTGCTTCATTGTAATCAGTTAGGCACTCCCAGCTCACTAGGTTCCTCCTGCCTCCCCAGGGTCTGCCTTCTAACAGAGCCAAAGGAATTGTCGGAATCTTTATGGGAAGCACAGATTAACCATCCTCTTCCTCAACTCCGTCCCCAAAGAAGCTATTGTTCCCTCCAGAGAATATCCTGTGGTCAATCAGCTCCCTCACGACCAGATGGCAGGCTCTTCTCCCAAGCTCCTCCATCAGCCTTTGGCGGTGCCAAACCGTCCTAGCAGTTAGGAAACATCTTGCTGTCAGATCTGACCTGTCCTATCAGGAGTTAAACTTTGTTGATGGTGCATGGCAGACAGAGGCAAGGGAAGTAAGCCTCCAAAATAGTAGTTGGAACTATCTGGAAAAGGCTCATTTTCCCCTTCATCCAGGTTTTGTATCCCAGAGGCAAAGAGGCGTTAGCAGAGGAGAGACACGAAGTGTGACTCAGGCTAAGACTCCTGCTCCAAACTGCTGTTCCTCTGCTTCAACTCACAGATTTTTTTTGAGGAGTTGGGACTGACTAAAGAAGGAGGGGAGGGAAACCAAGTCACCCTCTGCACAGCCATAGCTCAGCCTGGCAGGGGGAGGGGTGAGGTGGGGGCAGGGCAGAAGGAGCATCTGGGCTTTCCTTAGAAGATTCTCAGAAACACGCTCAAGCCTCCAGCAGGCAGCCAAGAGACTGCCCCTCTCCCACATCATCAGTAAAATTTGAAAGGAAAAAAAAAAAAGAATAAATAGGAAGACTAAAGAGCTGTGCTACCTTGGCCAAGTCACTGGAGCTTTCCAGGTTTTACTTTTGTCAACTGTAAAAGAAAACTTGGGGGCGCTCACCCTCCTTTCAGTTTTAACATTCCCTGAGTCTTTGGTGTTCCTTGGCTCCAGTGAGGTGGGGGTTGACTCTTAATATTAGATTATTATCTAACAGAAGTAAAGGATGCCTTATTACCAAAAGTAAAAGATAAATGTGTTCATACCTTTTTCATTAAAATATTTTCAAAAGTATGAATTAAAAAATTCAGGTAGTTAAAAAAAAAGAATTCAGAGTTTGAAAGACTATTCATTGAAGCCAGTTCTTCCTCCCCTCTCTGGGCACCTTCCAAATGCTGGTGCTGCCAGAACCCAGCTGAGACCTGAGGTGCCCCCCCGTAAGTCTCAAGCAGAAGTCAGCTCCCTAGGCAGAGACTGGCATTCCCCCCCAACCCAGACACACACAGATCTGGATGGGGGCATGGGGTCACTCCTATCACCCTCCTCACCCCCTCCTTTCTTTCTCCCCTGCCCTGTCCTGCAGTCCTTTAATCACCTCTCTCCTTAATTGCTGTGGAATCCTCACCCAACCACAAATAGCCATGTTGTACAGCCAGTTATTAGTCCTTCTGTTTTCTGGAACCCAGCTGGGGGGAGATAATCATGAAATTAGTTGTCTTGGACCCTCTTAATCCATGTCTGACCCACTCTGAGTGCCCCCCGTGAGGACCATGACACAGAGAAAGAGGGAGAGGTGAGGCCCAGAATTGTCCTGGACACAAACAGTGAGGCTGCCCCGCCCTCCTGGCCTGGAGAGGACCACGGAACTATTCTGAGCTGTGAAAACACAGCAGGGCTCTGCTAGGAAGTAAATAGCCGTCGGTCTCGCCAACGCCTGTCTGCCTGGACACAAGTCCTGACAGTGCCTGAGTTCCAGCCAGCAGGCACGAGACAGAGGGAGAAGGGCAGAGAGAGTCTAGAGTGCCTCCCTTCTTTAGGACAAGAAGGAAAAGCAGTACTTGTTTTATTTTTAAGATTTTTAAGATTCTCTTCACTTTGGTAGTTTGATGTGGAAGGAGGGTGCACCAGGAAAGTCCCGGGGATCTCTCCAACCTTGAATTCCAGACAGCAGGGTGCCTCTTGTTCTTTCCTCAGCCCCATGCAATTTCAGTGTCCTCTGCTCTGCTGGGAAGTCACTGGGTCCTCCTCACTCTCAGATCTGATGATTGGCTTTTTCTCATCCTTCCTTTTCCTTGACCGATTTCAGCCACAGCTGACACTGCATAGTTAGCTGCCTTGAAATGTTCACCCTCTCTATGTTCAATGTTGCTCTACTCTCTTTTCTTCTCTTCCTCCTCCCATAGCATGATGTTGGACCCTGCTTGTCCCCTACATTCCCCAAAATCCACAAATTCCTTCCAGACCTGTTCTTCCTCCAGTCTTTCCTACTTTGTAAATGTACCTCCTCGTCTGCCATCCTACAGGTGCTGAGCCTAGCGACTGTTGAGTCATCCTTAATGCTTCCTCATCAGGTTCTGGCCATGTATTTTCTGTTCTTGCTGCTCCTTATCAGTCCCTTTGTCTAGACCTGCCAGTCCCTTCATGACCTAATGATCTCCTACTCTCCTTCTCCCCAGTCTAAGCCATCCCACAGACTATAGGTGAAAGAGCCTTCTTGCAATTCCTTTCACTTGTCTCCTGAAAAATATCCAGTGGCTCCCCATTGCCTATGGAATGAAGCTCAAACCCAAGCTCTCCCACAATGGGACCCTAGGTTATCTTGTCAGCCTCATGTGGCATAGCTTCCCTCGTGAACTCTTCCCTGAGGTATACTTAGATGGGTTTGGATTCCCCACACATGCCTTGGTTTTCCTAAATGTGCTCCTCCCTCCACCTGGAATATGATTTCCGCACCTCCCCCTGTCTAGATTCTAACCATGTCCAAGGCTAAGCTACTAAAACCTGCTCAACCCACTGACACCACCCTCGTCAGCTGTACAGGATCGCTCTGCCCTGAACTCCCCTGGCACTCAACTGCTCCTACCTGGGGACACTGATCATGCTCAAACCTTTCATTACAGTTGTTTTGCATATGTCTTCACCCTTTCCCTGCTTTCCTGATCCCTAAGGGCCAAGAAAGCATCCCATCCAGCCTTCAGAACTGAGCTCTGCTTATTTGGTTCCAGTGTGGTAGATTGGTTAGGTGGTTGTGGTAACGTGATGGCTCCTGTCATTACTGACAGGGGTCCCTTTGCATTGTGACTTTGCTTCTCCTCTCATCAACACTGAGGTTTATGTCTCTAGCCTTTGAATCTGGACTTGATCTTGAGCCTTGGTCAGAAGGACCTTAGCAAATGGGTGCAAGCAGAGGCTTGAAAAGTGTTTGCTCACTAGAGCATGTCCTCTTTGAGGTACAGCTGGAATCTTGGGGCAGCAAAGGGGAGAAGTCCAGGCTGGCCTGCTGGAGAAACATTGCTATGCCACGTGGACTGTCTGACGCCCAGCCCCGGCCGCCAGACATTTGAGCGAGGCCATCTGAGACCATCCAGCCCCCGTCCATCTGCCAGATATCTGCAGCGATGTGAGTGATCTCAGGCGGCTCCAGCAGAACAGCCCAACCGAGCCCAGCCCAGACCGTTGACCTGAATATTGAGCTAATAAAATGGTTTGTTGTTTTAAGCCACTGAGTTTCGGGATGGCTTGTTATGCAGTAGCTGAAAACACCCAGCAGGTGCTGGTTACTGAACTATTAAATAACAGCTAGCATTCATAGAGCACTTATTATACACAAAGAACAGTCTTGGAAAATTACATGGATTAACTCATTTAATCCTCATAAAAATCCTGAGGCAGATTTTATCACTGTCCCCATCTTACAGGCAAGGAAAGTGAGGTAAAGAGAAGTTAAATAAGTTGCCCAAGATCGCACTTGCGAGATCTAAACCCCAGCAATCTGGCTCCAGAAGACGTACTGTAAGTCACTGTGCCACATTGCAAAATGAGGGAAACTAACTTATTGATTTACTGACTCAGAAACACCCTACCCCAACATGCATGCCAAATTCTGTAGCATTTTGGGGTCCAATGCCCAGTCTATGCCCCCAACCCTCCCACACCATGCCCCCTTGCATCTCCCCCAGGCTCTGGGACCCTCCCGGGTCAGGAACAGCCCAGCATGGGGAACTGATTCACAGACCTGCCAATGCCCACCTACTCAGAAAGCCTTCCAGCTCATTTCCTCCTTCCTGCCACCTTTGTGGGGTGCTGCCTCCAGGAGTGCAGGCCTTACCTGGAGAGGAGAGGCTTGCGCTCAGTGTGCCAGTGTTACCACTGGCCCTGTGCCCTGGCTTAACTGACCTGTGCAGCCGGGGTGATGTCTCACCCAGGATCTCTGGGCCTCCTGGGATCTTCCTTTCTGAAGTAGCCAAAGGAGAAAGTGGTTATGAGCTGGCTTTTTACAAGATAAAAAATTCCTTGAAGTTAAGAATTGTTATTGTTTGTTGAAATGTAAGAACTGTTATTGTTTGTTCAAATTTCAACAAAGCTGTGTTTAAGCGCCCATCCGGGGCACACTATGTGAGGCACCAGGCCACTCAGGCCACCAGGATGTGGTCCTTGCCCCAGGGAGCTCAGCTCCTACGTTCCTCCACTCAGGGAGTCAGGGAGGACACCTGTGGATGAAGGACTAGAGGGCAGCATGTGAAGCCCCAGAGTGGAGTTCTACCCAAGCACTAAGGAAACAGGAAGAACAAAGCAACTGGTTCTGCTCGGGAGGTGCTATTTGAGTTGGGGCTTAAGCCAGTTTGTGAACCACCTAAAATACCCTGTAGAGAGTGGGAAGCTCTGACGATTTATATGGGGAAGTTGGCCAAGGCAAAACTCTGGGGACAGGGGGAGGAGAGGAAGGTGAATTCGCTTACAGTGAGTCCATTCTGGAGGTTAGGCGGGTCCGGGGCAAGGCTGGTGTCTTTTGTAGGAGAGCCTAGCTCATGTCTCCGGGACACCTCACATTGGTTTCTTGGTGAAACCACAGTCCAACAGAGGGCTCTAAATCAGAAACGAGATTCATCAGCTCACCAAGGGCATTTGTCTTTTGGGAAATTCTAAGTTTACCAAAGTAACACCTGCAGGCTAATCATCATTTACAGTAACTGTCGAGGCAAAAGCAATTATTATGCCAGAAAACCAATATTAGCTCATTTACACAGGAGATATTATTGACTTGCCTGTCTTCTTCCCCATGACCAAGGTGTGGTGGGAAGCTGGCTCATGGAGCCATGAATCAGAATAAGCAGTTGGTCATGAGATAGGTTTGATAGGGTCCGGTGCCTCCATCTGAGCGCCTAATGTGCCTCCAGGTCCGCACATGTGCTGGCTGGCCTAGGGCTGGGCCCTCTGCCCCGGACACGGTGAGATTGCCGCTGCCAGCGCGGGCTCTGTAACACTCCCTTCCGGTGCCTTCTGACAGACACTTTTCTTTACACATCTTAGACTCTCCTCCAGCCTCCTCTGGCAGGTTGGGAACCAAACCACCGTACCAGGGTTTTCTCAACCTTCCACACGTTAAAATTACCTATGGGGAAATTTAAAAGCTGCTAATGTCTGAGTCTCACCTTCAGAGATTCTGATCCTATGGGTTGGAGGGGCAGCCAGAGCCCGTGGAGTTTTACCAGCTCCCCAGTGATTCTGTGCAGTCAACGTCGAGAGCCTTTGCTTTCAGGCAACGGTGCCTATTTCTGCTCTGGCCCTTTGAGTGCTGATTTTCCTCTTAGAGCATCACATACCATGGCTGAGCTGCCAAGTGCTTCTCAAGCATCACCTTGCTTAATTCTTTAACCAGGCCTGCCAGGCCATGAAGAGCAGCCGCACAGGAGAAGGCAGTCAGGTATAATTTCACGAAGACCTGGGTTCAATCCCAGCCCCACCACTTATCAGGTAGGCGGCTTGGGGCAAGTTACCTAATCCCCCCTCAACCTTAGTTTCCTCATCTGTAAAATGAGAATAAGAACGTGTGCTTCTCAAGGCTGCTGTGGGGAATAAACAAGGCAACGGATGGAAAGCAGCTCACCCAGAGCAGTCACTGCCATGCTGGCTCCCTTTCAATGGGAGGGGTGGGGGAGACAGAGAGAGTATCTTCCTTGAGGGTCCTCAGGAAGGGGGGAGCCCCCCATCCTCTCCTGGCCCATGGATAAGGTCCAGTATGAGAAACATGCAATGGGCAGGTGCCTGAGACCCAAGTCCACTGAGAACGCTACACTCGGTTTCCTGACACAGGGTCCAGGCGTGAGGAGGAAGGACGCCACGGAAGCTGCAGCCAGCCAGTCACAGAGTCCAAGTAGAGCACATGCAGCTGCCCTCGGCCGCAGGCAGCGGGGAAACAAGGCAGATGCCACTAAGAGGCTGGGCCAGGGAGCTCCCCTATACTGTGTGTGTGTCCTGGGGGGGTGTTGTTTGAGGCCCATTCAGTGGACTGTGTAGGTCAAAGTGTCCTGGAAGCCCCTATTCCTAAGGTGCCCTCCCACTTGCCAGGTCGCTCTAGAACTCCGACCCTTTGGGTCTCTCTGTGCTGCCTTCCACAGAGTCTGGTTCCTTCTTTCTTGTGGCTGGAATATGTTTCCAGGAGGCCTTCCCACAGGGATGACTCTCGTCGTTAAATGAGAGTGCCCGGTGCCCGCACTCCCTTGGGGCAGCTGGAGCTGAGCCCTCAGACGTGGTGGGGAGCCCGTCACACACCCGGCGCTCAGCAGGTGAGCCATCGCTGCAGAGCCCCCTGCACAGACGGGGCACAGTTCCCCTGTCCCCACCCCTGTGTGTGGAGAAGCAGATGCAGAACAGCCGAAGAGAAGCATCCTCGGCTTCCCCACAGCATTCGTTCTGGGGGCAAGACGAGAGCATTTATACCCATTGTGCCCCACATTTCTTTAAACAAGAAAACACAAGAAAGTTAAAATATGGTATTTATGGGGACTGAGGGTATAAAGTGACAATACTGCCGAATCTAGAAGCAAAATGGAATCAGCCACAGGAAACCAGCTCTGCCTAACCCCTTCTCCAGCTGGGTGCTTCTTGCTGTATCCTGCTGAGACTCTTGAATTGAGAATGTAGCTCTCGTGGCTTTTCGTCTTTGTATGGAGGTCCCTTTGCCAGAACTTAGTTCCTTTCCAGCTCACCTGGTTGAATCTGGGGATCTAGTCAGCTCTTGAGGGAACCACAGGGCTTCCATGGTATCTGAGCTCCCCTTTGCCCCTTCTGTCTGGTCACAAGCTGTGCCCTCAAGCGCCCTCTTGCCATGGCCTGCCTGTCCAGTCAGTGCCGTCCCCGAGGGCTAGGTCAGCAGCCTGGGCTTCCTCCTGGGGAAGGACCCTCCTCTCTTCCTGACTTCATGGGCCTCTCCTCTAGAAAAGTCACTGACGGAAGTGAGCTGACTACAGAAGCTGAGGTGTGGACACCACCTACCACTTGGGCTTCTCTGGCCTGGAGGCACCTGGGAAAGCTTAGTTTCAAGCCCTACCTCCTCCCCACCTTCCTCTTGCCCCCATACTCCTTTCTGGAAAATATCCCCGTTCTTATTTATGCTTATTCAAAGTCCACACCTCTGGAGGGACAGCTGGGATGCAAGGCCCTGGAGGCTGTGGTCTGACCAGGCCAGACTGGTCCCCACTGGTATGTCCCTGGCTCATTTTCATGCCCACCCTTGATCAGATAGCTCCTGGCCTGGTTATCTGAGCTCCTGAGACTTTTTGGTTCCTGCCCTTGGTGATATTCTGGTCACCTATGCTGGCTGCTGCACTATAATGGGGGCCACTGCCACCCACGGCCCAGGGAACAGATGACCCTTCAACATTTCACCTATAAAACTCCTTGGACTGCTGCTGTCACTTGCCCACCCTACACCTCTCAAGAGCATACTCCACATGGTCTATGTAAAGGGAAAGAACTCAGAAGATTATTTGGCAGTGTAGACAGATGACAGGAGGAATGTTTTTTTTCGGAAAATAAAAGGCTGAGACATAAAATGAAGAAATCTGTTTAGAGACGTGGCTCCTCCAAGGAGATAACCAGGAATCGTCCTCGCCAACAAGACAGCCTCCTGCAGGTCCAAGGCTTCCTCAGCCCAGGGACAGAGCAGGATTCCAGGGATGGGGAGAGTTACGGGGTCTGAGGCAGCAGCCCCTCTCTCCCAGGACCCTGGAGGGAAGGTGAAGGAGCAGGAGGAGGGGAAGAAGGTGGGAGAGAGGGAAGGGAAGGAACGTGCTAAGGTAAGGAGTGAAGGCAGAGAAGCAGCTTCCTGAGACCGGGGGCACAGGCCTGGCAGGGACCCTGCCCTGGGGCCTGAGAACAGCTGGTAAATAAGGACCTCATCTTCATCTTCAAGACTCAGGGTGGAGGAGCTGCTGGGGAAGCCCAAAACAGCTTCTGGTACTTAATGTCACTGAACTGTGCATTGAAAAATGGTCAAATGGTAAATTTTATGTTATGCATGTTTTACCACAATAAAAAAAAAGAAATGGCACAGTCCCTTTGGAAATCAGTGTGGTGGCCCCTCAGAAGGTTAAACACAGTTACCATATGACCCAGCAATTCCACACGTGTGCATAGCAGCATTATCCATAATAAGCAAAAAGTGGAACAGCCCAAGTGCCCATCAAGTGATGAATGGATAAACAAACTGTGGTACAACCATGCAAAGGAATACTAGTCAGCCAGAAAGGATTCCTGCCTCCGCATGGATTCACCTTGAAAACATTATGCTGAGTGAGGGAAGTCAGTCACAGAAGACCACCTATTGTATAACTCTATTTATATGACATATCCAAAATACAAGCAAATCTATAGTGACAGAAAGACGAGCGATCGCCTAGAGCTGGGAAAGGGTTGGAGGGAAATGGGAAGTGACTGCTAACAGGTCTGGGGTTTCTTTTGGGTATGATGAAAATGTTCTGGAATTAGATAGTGATAATGGTTGCACAACTTTGTGAATATACTAAAAACCGGTCAACTGTACATATTAAAAGGGTAGATTTAATGGTATGTGAATCATATCTCACATAACAAAATAAGATTACAAAACTGTTCAGAAGAACAAGAGTCTCCTGGGAAAAACTTGGCATCCCTCCAGGCTCTCGGATGGCCATTCGTCTCCTCTCTGGGACGGGAACCGACCAGCAGGTCTGGGGGCAACAAAGCTGAGTCCTTCCTGTGTCAGGCATCACAGGGGCAGGAAGCTCCCAGCAGGAAGCGGGTACAAGGGAGGGCAGTGGACAGGGAGGACCTTGGGGGATGGGAGGAGGGGGCCTCAGGGCTGTGAGGAAGGAGAGGGCCCCAGCACCCACTGCTCCCCTCCCCACACACCCTGGCCCTGGGGTCCCTGGCCACCTTACCCATTCTAGAGGCCAGTTAGTTGTGAGAGAAGCCCCTGTGGGAGAAGGCAGGGACGTCAGGGGCACAGGAAGCAGCCTGGGGGAGGCAAGCCAGGGAGGTGACCTCACAGTCCCCAGCATCCTGGTCCCTCTGGAAGTAGATGGAGTCAGCAGAATTGAAGGAGGGGTCCTGGTCAAAGAAGTTGTAGGGTCAGAGGAAGAAGCCCACACCATTCCCCACGGTCACTGTGTTGGGAATGTCCTCTGCATGTGGGATGTGCAGGAAACCAGCTGTCACCCAGGCCACCAAATTCTAGCCAGAAGAAGAAAGAGGGTCACAAAGCCTGGCTTTGCAGATGACACACTTGCCTCCCACTGTAGCTTGCATGTAAGGATTCTGCCCACTAGCCCAGGAAGAATGTGAAATCATAAAGCTTTCTCAGTGGGTTCCAAAGACCCTCGAGGAACCTGGCTTGGGAGACAGTGAAGTGGCTCCTCCTTGCTCCCCCTGCCTCCTTCTCTCACCTCCACCTCCTCCCTTTCAACTGCTCTGCCCTGCAATGGTCTCATTGTTGATGAAGCCGGTGAAGTCCATGGTGGGGGCCCGAGGGTCGTACTGATTGTAGATGCGGGTGCTGCTGGGCTCCTCCTTCTTCCGCCGGGTCATGGCCAGCTGGTACCTCGGGAGATCTGGGTCAGACCCACAAGGTCGTCAACCTGCCGCACTGCCTGAAGCTGCAGACACAGGAGCACAAAGGTCCCGAGCCTCTTTATCATTCTCTTTATCATTATCTTTATTGTGAATATCTTAAACATATGGAAAAGTTGAAAGAATAGTAGTGAACACCCATATACCCACAACCCAGAGTCTAACATTTTATTATATTTGACTCAGCAAGTATCTCTCCATTCATCCATCCATCCAGTAGGCTTCCTTTTGTGTGGCCTAAGATTGTGGCTGAAGGAATGTGAGTGTATGTATGAATGTGTGTGTGTGTGTGTGTGTGTGTGTGTGTGTGTGTGTGTGTGTGTGTGTATGTGTGTGTGTATGTGCATGCACACCCATGGGAGGTGGGGGATCCTGGGATCCCATCAACATGGGGCCCTTCTGACAGTCCACCTCCCCCAGCTGCTCTCTGACCCTTCAGCACTCACCTCCCCCAGCTGAAGGCGCTCTCCATGGAGCTGTTCTGGGGCAGCGGCTCCCCAGCAAAGCTGAGCATCTGGATGCAGTAGCCCCGAGGGTAACCCCACTTGTTGCTGTGGTTGCTGGCCAGGTACAGGCCTGCTCCTGTCTCCTGCAGCTTCCGGGTCACCTGCAGCCTCTGCATCTGGTGCTCGGGGCTCCAGGGTACCCCCATGGGGACAAAGGCCATGTCCTCAGCCCAGACCCAGTTCTCCAGTCCTGCCGGGGCAGGGGTCACGGTGGGAGGGAGGGCTGGTCACACAGCTGCCCTGCTGCCTCTGGACTCTGCCCCCACCTGGATCCAGAGTGGGGGCCACAGAGAAGCCCAGAGCTGAGTGTGCCCCCTGCTTCCCTCCCCTCACCCCAAGATATCCCCAATCCAGGGATTTCAAGAAGGTCTTTCTCCCTGATGTCCTCTCTGGTAATAATCCTGAATGCCTTGTGACGGGGCCTGCACTGACCTTCTTACTCTGAAGGGGCCACAAGGGAGGGAGGTTTACCTGCAACTGGAGCACCCCACAGGCCATGTGCAGACTCTGACCCGCACCTCATATCCGAAGCCCTGTGGCAGCACCAGAGCCTCCCTGTTATGAGAATACTAACAGCTGAACTCACATTTATTGAACCTGAAGGAGCTCTGCCCAGGCAGCATTAAAGCTTTATTGTACAACTACCTTGTGAACGAGGAACTGCAATTCCGAGAATTTAATATGTCCTGGTGTGTCACCATGGGCACACAATGGGTACCGCGGCAGTGCTGCAGACTCAGGTCTTAATCTGACTCTGCGCTGCCTACACATCAGCATACAGAGGAAACCGACATAGAGTGGCCCCACGCACATGGACAGCAGGCAGGCAGAGGGAAGGAAAATCAGACCTGGGCCCAGTGCTGCTGGAGCTTGGAGGCGCTGCCGATGGTCTGGGGCTTGGCAAGGAATTAGGAGCAAGGCCCAAGGCACAGTCTGTTCCCTGAGCTTTTGGAGTCTTGAAGGATTTTATTAGAGTCTAGTTAGGTCCCATCTTAGGATTCAACTTAAGTGACCTGAGACCAAAGAGCAGTAAACCAAAACATGGGGGAAGCCCCCTCCGTATCCTCCAAGGACCAGGAGACAGCAGAGACTGATTAAGCAAATCCTTGGTATCCTTTGTGATCCACTGCCCTTAGTCTGCACAGCAGGGTTTCTACCTGTTGGTGACAATTAAAGACCAAGAGTTCTTTCTGGTGCATCCACACAAACAGGCTCATGCGCATAATGATAACAAAAACCATAGACAGTGTGCAAATTAGTTAGTAGTTTAAAACCTATACATACTTAAGGTACTCTACAAGAAGATGTGTCAAAGAAATAATCAATCCTCCCATGTTTCCTTCCATATGCTACATCTATAGCTTTTCTTCTTCCTTCCTAATTACAACCCTTAAATAGAATTCGTGCCTCATATCGAATTTACTTGAGTATCATAATTCCTCCAGGTGGTAAAGATACCTTGAGACAAGTGCTGGGCATAGAAGCCACAGGGCATAAATCTGCAAAGAAGTAAAAAGCTAACCTTTTCAAACAATATGGCTTCTCTCTCACTTACCAACTTTACATTTCCCTGTATGGTCCCGGAAGATGACTGGTTAGCCAGAGACAGGTAAGATTCCTCAAGGGAGGAACAACCTAAGACAGGCACAGTCGCAGGGGGGCCATCAGGTGAGAATTTGGGGATCAACAGAGGTGAGGCTCAGAACCTCACCCCCCCTGCTTTGAGAGAAATCTTCTGCATCCGTGGATGTCTTGCTGCCCTTGTCTAGCCTGGATTAATACTTAGTCCATAGGCACACACCTGATCATCTGATCATCTACATTTGCCTTCTTACAGCACTAAACTATGTTTTCTACCTTTATCTTGCATCTACCTACCACTTCAGCATTTTATTAAAAATAAAAATAATAATAATAATAGGAGAAATGTGGGATCAACATATAAATCAAGTACAAAAATCAAACGAATATTCATATTTGACCTGATTGTTTATAGGTCATATTGCATGATCAAAACCGAAAGTTTCTGTGATGAATGCCCTTGTACTGTTCACCATGTAAGAATTTATTCACTATGTAAGAATTCGTTCACCATGTAAGAACTTGTTCGTTATGCTTCAGAAGATTGGAGACTGACCAGAATTAGGCTTGAGATGGATTAATGATTGTACATTGAGCATTGACCCCCCTATACTGAATTTTATTGTTGTTAACAACCATTTGATCAATAAATATGAGAGATGCCCTCTCAAAAAAAAAAACAAAAAACCATAGACAGCACTTCTCACTATACATCAGGCACCTTTCCAAGTGCTTTAAGAGTGATCATTGCTTAGATGCAAAGTTAAGGAGAGATGTGTGTGTGTCAGAATATATATATGTTTTCTAGCTAATTTCAATGAGACAGCCTAAAAGCAATGACATCCCAGTGATAGTGAGCACTGCTGGTACCCAGATCTTGGTTTCTAAATAGTTTTTGCCAATAAAAGGAACCAGAGCCCCTTGGAGAAGTGGTTGATGCCCAGACTGGAGCAGGGAAAATACAAGGTGAGAATGGAAAATCTGTGGTGCCAAAAGGAAAGAAGTACTGAAAAAAGGATGAAGGCATTTCAGAACAGAGAAACCAACCTGCAGAGTCTCCCAATGGCCAAAACTGGAATAATTAGGGAACAAAATAAATGATAGGGTTATAATCCTTAGAATAAAATAAATATACATGGGTCCTTACAGTTATGAATAAATAATTACATATATAAATAAATGTAAAAGGAGGGATAACTCTTCCTTATGAAAAACTCCAATTAATAAGTGTACAAAAAATATGGGGAAAAAATTTAATGACCAGTCGGGAAACATCACAGTAACAGTTATTGCGGGGAAAAAAACAATTGCTTTTAAAATTAGGGGGCAAGAGTCTGAGAAAGAAAGAAGTAGGATATTTGCATAGCATCAAATTAATTTCCCCAAGATATTTACTAACTGCCAATTGAAAAATACTAATTTTTACAATGGAGAAAGAAGGAAGGTATCACCTTAACCAAGTGCCTGAGGTCAACGACACTGGTAATAAGACATAGCAACATCGTGCACCCCTCGATATGATATGCTGAGGAGATATCATTTCTGTGGTTTTCTTGCCCCTCCCCTCAAAAAGCAGTCTCAGCCTAATCACGACAAAATATCAGAGAAACCCAGATTAAGAGTCATTCTATGAAATGATTTTCTAAAAAGTCAGGCCACGAAAGACAAGGAAAGCCTAAGGAACTGGCACAGACTGGAGGAGAGTAACGAGCTAAGTCATCTAAATGCAATGTGGGACCCTGGATTAGATCCTGAAACAGGAAAAAAATTAATGGGAGACCTAATTAAATTCTGATAAGGTCTGTAGTTTTAGTTAAAAGTCTTGTAATAATGTTCATTTCCTGGTTTTGATTGTCATCCTACGGATATGTCCAATGCTAACATTAGAGGAAGCTGGGTGAAGGGAACATGGGAACTCTGCAATGTTTGAGACTTTTCGGTAAGTCTCAAGTTATTTCAAAAGTAAAGATGTTTTTTAAAGGTTGTCATCATTAATCCTCATGATAGTCCTATGCGGAATGTGCTGTCATACTATTTGTACACAAGTAAACTGAGGTACAGAGAGGTTAAGCATAAAATTACTACTATCATACACGTTTTTCCAGGAGGTCCATGTGCTCTCCACTCCTCTGTTAAGTGTAAGCCTCTTGAGAGCAGGGATGCTGTTTCTTTTGTTGAATTGTGTTGAATTGTGTTAGGTGCAGCGCTTGGCATAAATATATATTTAGTATTTGTTTTTTGCATAAGTGATAGGTTCCCGTGAAAACACAGAAGTGGGAAAATATATGTACATTATGATATGAATTTTATAATTAAAGAATCTAAATATGTTTATCAGTTTACCATATTTATACATATATGCAATATCATAAATTCTATCATTGCAAGTTCAAGATTTAAAAAGTTGGGAGAATTTTTTTAAGTATTGGAGAATAATTGGTCTGCTAATGGAGAAAATCTCTGAGGAATCCAGTGACTTTCACATTTATTTCATATACTTTTACATTTTTAATGCTTCAATGACAATTTTTAAAGCTAGGCATGGAGACAGCCTCTCTGCTGGAATCCTTGCCTCTATCAGGTTGCCTTACGTCCTACATCCAGATCCACCATGAAGTGGACACTGGGTGTGGACAGTGCCCAGCGTGTGCTCCCCAACCTGGTTCCCATACTTCTGGGCAGCACCAAAGAGGAACGCTGAGCTGATGTAGCCTGTGGCATGGAATCTGACTTCTAGGGCCCCACTGGGGTGGAAGATCATATCCCACACATAGTCATAGTTGAGCAGAGTAGACACAGATCTGATGACCAGCACTGTCTCTGTAAGGCCCCCAAAATAGTGGGAGTAGAAATCTGAGTGGTGTCGCCTCAGGGGGAGACCCTGGTTCTGTTCAAACACGCAAAAGGCATCGTGTATTGTCTTGGGGGCCTGGGACTCCAAAAGGAAGTGTCAGTCCACATAAGTGGCCAGGTAGGGACAGTCCACCCCACGGGTCAGAGGCGTGGCATACTTGCCCAAGCCAAAGCTGCCGTCCATGTAGCGGGTCAGCATCGCCGCGGGGGAGTTGCCACCATAGACGGTCAAGGCCTCCTGGACGCTGACTTCATAAGCTATTCTCTCCCCCTGGAAGCGGATGTCAAAGACCCTTGGGCCACTGAAAGCTCCGAGGCCAAAGGAGAAAGTCCACAGTGAAGAGGCCACTCGGCTTCCCTGGACACTGAAGCGGGGGCCCTGGGGATAGAACTGCAGTGGGGGAGCCGGACCCCGGGGAACGTGGGACTTCAGCGACCAGGACCCACCCGTGCCATTGTCTGGGATCAGCAGCACATTCACCAGGCCGGCCTCAAACTGGTCCTCCAGCTGAGCCAGACTCTCATAGTAGCGGCCTTGAAAGAACACCTTCTGGATGGTCCAGTGGGCAGGGTCCAGGGCCTTGTGGTCGACCAGCAGCTCCAGCCCCACGGGGTGCAGATAAATCCCAGCCCCTGAGATGTTGTAGTAGAGGCCCAGCCAGGTAGCCCGGTCCCCCGACTGCAAACCAGGGGGCGCTGTGATCATCATCACCAGGTTGCCTCCTTGGCGTTTGTAGAAGCAGCAGTGGTGCAGAAGCCCAGCAACCTGAGGCAGCTCTCTGCGGAAAATCATCTGGTCTATGTCCAGGTACTCCCGGAGCCGCATGGGGCGTCGGTGATAGGGCAGGGGGCCCCCGTGACGCTCCAGGGTCACATCCCGCATGTAGGTGGGGTGCGGCAGAGGCCCCACCACCAGCTCACTCACGTTGGGCTGGGCTTGTCCACCAAATAAGACGATGTCCAGTGCCTCCCGGGCAGGTGGGGGTCTCCCCCTGTCCAGATGGGCCAGGGCTGCAGCCTTGGGGGGCAGCTGCAGCTCCACCGAGAAGACACAGTTGTCCGAGGGGCGGGCCTGGGCTGCATCCACCAGGCCGGGCGGGGCCCAGCTGCTGGGTCAGAAAGCTCATCACAGCCATCAGCTCCTCTCGGCTCAGGTCTGCAAACCCTGGGTGTGTCCGGGGCTGGGCACTACTGGGTAAGGGAGGGCAGCGGGGTGGCAGGCTGGGTCTACATTCCCTCTCAACACCTTCCTCATTCCTAGTCCCACCCACAGCCAGCCTATCACCAGAACACTACACAGGGACAAAATAATGGAGACAACCATAGCTAAAGCTCCTGGGCCGTGTCCAGGCTCTTGTATCGAAATTGAGAATGGAGGATAGGCAAACAGACACATAGGACCGGGGTGCAGGACGCCTTTTTCAGTCTCTGGTGGTTCCCAGCCACCCAGTGGTGCTGCAAGGCAAAAGGCATGATGAGCACATTGAAGAACAGCAGCCAAAGGCAGAGGGCTCGGTGGGGGTGGAGCTGGAACTGGAGGGGCCCAGGGGTCAGGCCAGCTCAAGGACAGGTGGGGCTGAGGTAGGAAACTGGACTTTAAGTGACCCACATAAGCCTCTCCTCCTGTTCCAGATCAAACACTCAGGGTCAGGGCTGTGGAACGAGGTCCGGGAGGGGTAGGTTTTGGAGATAACGCAGCTAGAGGGAGTCAAGAGGAGGAAGCGACCAGCAGAAAGTGACTCTCCTTGGGCTTTTCCTCCCCTTCCAGATGGAACCTTTCTCCTGGCTGCAAGGCTGCCGAGGAAACTCACCTGCCCACAGCTCTCCAGAGGGATTCCCTCCTCCCTCCTCTGGTGGGCCACGTCCTCCGGGCTCTGCTCCTCTCCATTCTCTCCTGCTTCTCCCACCCCAGGCCAACCAGAACTCCCACGGGCAGCCCAAGGGAGGCTTGAGAACAATGCTGAGAGCACAAGGCACCTGGGAGGAGCTGGGGGCGCGAAAGGCTGAACTGGTCAACACTGTGAAGGCCCAGAGACCCCGAATCACTGGAGGGGAGCATGGGGGTGTGGAGCCAGTCAGAAGCTGGAGGGGGTCACGGGCTGCACAGTGCAGTAGAGAACTGGTGGGCCAGATCAGATGTTAGAGGGCCTGGAAAACTGGCTATGGAATTAACCTCGCAGCCCACAGCCCTCAACACCAGGAAACCCTCCTCCAAAATGTGCGGACACAGAGAGCAGAGCCACCTCCATTCTCCGCCGGGTGACATGCAGGTGGCCACCATCGTCTGGGCAGCCGGATCTGGAGGGGAGCTAGGAGGGACTGAGAGTTCCAGAGAGGGGACATGCTTCCCTCGTAGCCAGGGGCAAAATCCTTCCTGACCTGGACATGCCAGGGAGACCTCTGCAGTTAGAGACATGGAACTGTGCAAACAGAGGGCATTCGCCGGGCAGAGAAGAGAAAGGACATTTCAGCTGAAGGGAGCAGAAGGTGCAAGGGTACAGACACTTAAAACATCTTGGCACAGGCAGGCAATGGCCAGAAGGTCAGCACACTTGGTGTGAGGAGCAGAGGATGGGGTGGCAGAGGTATGATCAAGAAGCCTTGTGACCTGCGTGTTTTAAGCAAGGTAGTAATTGCAGCGTGAAACCCGGGAGAGGTCAACCGGTGAAAGTAATATCAGAAAGGTCAGCTGACCCAGAAATGTTTATGCAACCAGCTCTCTTTTGATAGGAAAACTCACCAAGTTTTCCTCTCCCTATTCTTTCAAGCTATAGAAGTAGTAGTGGGCCTCCCTCCAAAACGGTGAGACAGGCAGGGTCTCCAGCCTCTCAGGATTGAATTTAAATATAGTAACCACCCCCAATTCCAGGGAAGCAAGCCTTCCCTGTCCTCAAGGAAAATGGGAACTGGTTTTTCTTTTGCTGATCTGTTTTTCATGCTCTGCAGAGGCTCCTGATGGAAAACAGTACTTTAAATTTCTTTTAATTAAAAAAAAAAATGTTTTGAAAACATTTTGGGGAATAAACCAAAAATGTCTGGTAAGCCATTTAGCAGTCATGAAGGGATATACTGTGCGAAATACCCTTCCCTTTCATCCCGCAGCTCCTTTCCATAGAAACAACCACTGTAACCAGTGTCTCATGGGTCATCAAGGGCTATTGTGGGAACATAAAAAAGTGGAGAATGGGGCTTTGGGGCACAGGTCAACCCCCCAGGGCAGGCCCCTCCTCCCTTCACTGCCTGGGCAAGGCTAGCCTCAGCAAACATATAGCAGTGACTGCTGTCAACTGAAGGCTAGCTGACAATCCCCCAAATCCCGGATTACAGTCTTAAGTAACCCTAAAGATGAGCACCCCCAACAAGCATGCCTATAATTGAATTTCCTGCCAATCAGTTGAATGAGGGCACAGAACTGCTTATGTGACATAGAAATATAAAGAACTGTAACATTTAATGCCTACCCCTCAGTGCTGGGGAGTAAAATTTAGACCCAATATTCCCATCAACTAAACAGTAACATGGAAACGAGGGCTTGGAGGGCCGCTTGGAGTCAAGACTGAGACAATAGAGCTACTACCAGTAAGGCAGGAAGGGTCATTGGAAAAAAGCGCTGTGGCCTTTAGAATGAGGGGGATCAGAATCTAATGTCAAGGCCCAGCCTTGGCCACAAGGAAACCCATGCCAGCTTAGGAACTTGAGTCTGGGCCCTTTGTTAGGTTATGGTCTTAGCTCTCAGCTAAGAATACACCATTATGATGGCTGATGTTTCTTCATCCTAAACAGTGTTACCAAGCAGAGGTCAAGGATGTTCACTTTGTGGAATATTGCCAAGTTCTTGAATGGAGAGATGGGTGATGAACTGGTAGGCTGGTAGGGGAACTGGTATACAAAAAAGTGCCACCCCTGACCACCTTCCCTAAGTATCATGCTGTCATGTTGTTTCCTTTGATATCATGTTATCCTAGTCTTCACAGGTATCATGTCAAATGCCCTAAAAGCTTGTTGAACAGTGTCCCACTTGGAGAATTACCCAGGAGACAGGACCACATGCCCTGATCCCCTCAGTGGGTCCTATTTCTTTCTGAGCAAACTCGGCCCCAGTCTCTGTGAACTTGTTGATAGGCTAAGGACTGGGCCCCAGCATATGTGCCTGCAAAGCTGCTGTTTCAGAGGCCCCGTGAAGTCAGCTGGACCACATCATACACCCAGGTCACCCTCTGGTCCTATCTGCATCATAGGGAGACAGCTCTGGTGACAGTGTGAAGGGGGCTTGGGGGTGGAACAGACTAGAGGCAAGAAGACTGGGGAGGAGGCAGGGGGCCAGAGTGAGACTAGTGACGTCGAGGACAGAGAGGAAGGGATGAGCCTGAGGGATGTGCAGAGTAGAGCTGACAGGGCTCCGTGCCTGACTGGCTGTGGGTGGGTGAGAAAGGACATGGCATCTTAGACGACACATTGGGTGACTGGGTGAGTGATGGGACCTTTCACAAGAAGGGCATACATGAAGAGAAGAAGTTTAAGGGGGAAACCAACAAGTTGGAGTTTGAGGTGCTCTTGGGAAGCCCCAGTATAGATACCTACACAGAGGGCAGTTGGCTCTATAGGTCTGGAGTATAGGAGAGGTGTTCTAGGCTAGAAATAGAGATTTGGTCCAACAACCAATATTAGCAGTTTAAGTAAGAGAGGCTGAGGTTGTTACTTGGTCCTCGGTCCTTGTCTTCATGTATTAAAAGAACTTGACACTGAGACTTACAGGTATGCAAGCAAGCAGTGCCCTTTATTAGAGATATGAGGAAACAGAGACACCTTGATAGACCAAGGCAAGCTGCTCCAGAGTCAGCCTTGAGAAGCACAGGGTGGCTCATGTTACAGGGAGTGAAAATGTTCGTTCACTAGTTACTAGGTCACCTAGCGTGGGTAGGGAGGGTTTCAGCACGTGTGCAGGTGGAATACATACATATGTGTGTGTTGCAATGTCATCTCTGTAGCATTAGCTTATAAAATTTCCACCCAGGGGTGGGAAATTTAGTATTATAATGAGGAAGAAGACAACAATGGGCACCAAATTTTCCTTATGCTCCTGTCACAAGTTCATGTTTTGGTCCACTGACTATCTGACCAAGGGGGTCTCTAAACCGAGGACATGGTGGCTATAAAACTTGTTAAAACAATAGGTTGACATGAAAAACAAGATGTATTGGAGCCTTGCAAGCCAGTGGTCCCGGTCGCAAGGCATTTTGTCAGGACTTGGGTATATGGGGCTGGACCAGTCTCTCCACTTTTTTTCAACCTCTCACGTTTACCCAGGGAAAACTTCTGGAGAGAGAAGAGAGGAGGCCCAAGACAGAGTCCTGGAAAGTGCCAAGGTCTAGGGCTAGGTGGGCTGGTGTGGGGAGCAAAGGTAAAGGAGGCAGCACAGAAGAACAAGAAGCAGGAAATATGGATGAGGAGGGGTCAGAATGTGGGGAAGTCAAGACAGAAAACACTGTCAAGAAGGGAGTAGTCAGTGTTGTCAAATGCCCCCAAGAGGTCCAAAAAGCAGGAAGCTGGAGAGGCCCATTGACGTTGCATTTAGAAGTCACTGGCGACCTTTGTCAGCGCAGGGCCTGTGGCTCATGGGCCAGCAGAGGGAGGGCAGTGGGTTGAAGAGTGACAGGGGAGGTCGGGAAGCAGACCCAGGAAGGGTAGCCCAGCCACTCCTTGGAGGAAGGTGTTTGTGAAGGGACAGGCTGAGAGGAGACTCCTGCCCAGAAGAGGCAGGATCCTGGGACAGGTTTAGCAAGATTTTTGTGAGCCAAGAGGAAGAGCCAGTCAAGAGGGAGAGATTGAGGAGACAGGGAGAGGAGTGGTTAACTGAAAGACATTCTGGGGGGAGCTGGAAGTGGTGGGGTTCCCCTTAAACAAGAAAAGAGGCTGTGGAATCAATGAGACCATCCTCATCACCAAACCCAGTCAAAGAAGCTATCAAGAGAGCACCAGATGCCTTTTTTTTTTTAGAGGTTTACTTTTTTTGCAGACGCATTTTGCACTGTATGAACCAATGATCACATACCTCACGAACTACAAAGGTTTACTGATTGTTGGGTGGGAATTTACTTTAATGAGCAACTGACTTTTCCAAGTGATCTTCTAAGTGTTTGTTAAATATAATGCTCTTGAACTCATGGGCTGTACAGAGGGAAAAGGCCTGAGTCAGGGGCCAGAGATTCTTCCTCACTTTCTCTGCAACCTCAGCAGAGGGAAAGGGGTAGGAGGGAGGCATCCATGCGTGGGTTTCTGATCAGGGCCTCTTCAGGCCAGATCTCCTACAGGAGTCCTCCCCTAGGCCTTACCAGGCATGCAGGCCACCATCATTTCTCACCTCTGATGCATGCACCTCTCATGGCCAGGCCTTCTGTCAACTTTATTCTTTGCATCTGGGCCTGCAGAGGGAATGTCCTAGAAGACAAATCTGACACTGTCATTCTGTTGCCCCAAATCATTCCATAGTTCCTCATTTTCCTTAGGATAACCATGGCTTGCAAGGACCCGCCTCATCTGCCCTCTACCTGCCCTTCCAGGGTTTCTCACACCTGTCCTTACACCTGTCAGTGAATTTGGGTATGTGGAAGGTGCCACCTTGTCACCTCCTGGCCTTTGAATGCTGTTGCCTCTTCCTGCAACATGCTCGCCACTCTCCCCTCTCTCCCCCGACCCTGCCGACTTCTACTCCTCTGCCAGGATCAGTCTGGACATCGAGTTCCCTAGGAAGCCTTCCTCAACCTCTAAGTATGAGTGAGGAACCCCTCTGTACCCTGCACGCCTCCCCTCTAACAGTCCTTGACTGTAATTGTCTCTTTGCCTCTCCTGCCCCTTATTCACTAAGGTACCCTAGTGCCTCGCATAGTGCCTGGCACCTAGGGGAACCCTGTAAATCTGTGTCAGATGCAGGAAGGAATCCTCCTCTTGCGCTCCGAGCTGGAGCCCTGCCCAGGGCAGCAGGACGAGAGCAGAGGCAGAAGAGCACGTGTCACGCTCCTCGCAGGGGGTTCCTGGAGAAGGTGTCTGTATTCCTAGAGAAGCCTGTTATGCCCTCTGACCTAAACCTCAGGGGGCCCCTTGTCCAGCTCCTCTTAGGGCAGAGGGTCAAAGTCCTGAAGATCTCCACACTGGGGGCACCAGTTCCTTCAAAGCCTGACATCCTTCATCACTGTTCACTCCTCTCACTTGACCACGAATCTGAAGCCAGCAAGCTAAGCTGGTGTCAGTGGCCTGAGGAAGAGATTGGGTTGGGGTAGAAGGCTGACGTCCTAATGATCTTCCTGTCCATCCTGCCTCCCCTCATTTGAGGCCCAGGGCAGGTGGTGTCATCCCAATGGTAAGATGCAGAGAGACAGCCGCAGTCACATTTTCACATAAAAGCTGTGAGCATTCACACAAACTCAGCCCATACAGACACTCACACTCCTTGGTCTGGAGATGGACTTCCAGGTAATGACTTTCAAGTTAGTAAGACAGGGTGGGGAGAGAGAGTACTTTATTCCTCCCCCTGCCCCCAGCACTAACTACTGTGCAACTGGCCATGGGAAGGAGCCGTGAGGAGGCGGAAATGAAAGGCTATGCATGTAGTACAGAAGTTAAATCAGTCAGGTCAGAGAAAGAGGAAGCACAGAGTCAGGGCCAGAGGCACGGCCGGCCACAGTGTCGCTTTTGCTCCTCTGTCTCAGTCTTCACTCTCTCCTTGTCCTCAGTCATTCTTGCTTCCATCCCAGGCCATGTTATAAAATAATCCAGCCATCACTGTCCCTCTCTACTTACTGAAGTCTTTCTCCCTGTTCTGGGGACTCTAGCTTCTCTCCAGCTCAGTGACTTGTCCCTACCCACTGTTCCATTGACCCAGAAGTGAACTTGGGCTTGGAACAGGACAGAAGGTAGCAGAAGCTTCTGTGATTTCAGAGCTCCTGATATGATCTCCCTCTGGTCAAAAGCTGTTTCCTGCACTTCACTTCCTGGCTTGGCCTGGGCTTCCAGCAGGCAGAGGTCACCTCTCCCCAAAGGCTTCTCAATGCCCCCACTTTTTTTTGTTAGTTTTTACTTTTTATTAAAACATCATTGATACACAATCGTATGATGGTTCCAAATACACAACACAGTGGTTCAACATTCACTCATATCATCAAGTCCTCACCCCCTCCATTGTGGTCACTGTCTATCAATGTTTTAAGATGTTTTAGAGTCACTAATTGTATTCTCCGTGTTGTACTACTGTCCCTGTGACCTACCTATGTTGTGATTGTGAATTGTTGTGCCCTTTAATCCCCTTCTCCCCCCTCCCCACTCTTCCTAACCCCTCCCCTTTGGTAACCACTAGTCCCTTCTCAGTGTTTATGTATCTACTGCTATTTTGTTTCTTCTGTTTTGTTTTGTTTTTATACTCCACAAATGAGTGAAATCTTTGGTATTTGCCTTTCCCCACCTGGTTTATTTCACTGAGCATTAATATCGTCTAGATCCATCTATGTTGTTGTAAATGGCAGGGTTTCTTTTCTTTTTATGGTTGAATAATATTTTATTGTGTCATGTACCACCTCTTCTTTACCCGTTCATCTACTGATGGACACTTAGGTTGCTTCCATATCTTGGCTATTGTAAATAGCGCTGCGATAAACATAGGGGTCATTGCTTCCTCTTTTAAGAGGAGAGAGAGGAAATGGGAGCAAGAGAGAGAAAGTGACTAAGGTTTAACATTTTCCTGGGAGATGTGTAAGTAAGAGAAGGCAAAGAAAAGGGTTACCAGAGGCCACACCCATACCTGTGGGTCTCAAAAACTAGAGAAATTGAGTCCATGGGCCCATCCCTTAACTCACTGTCCCCTACCAACCCCCATACCTTCCTAAAAGACATGTCAGTTAAAAAAAAAGGTCAGGCCTTGTTTGGGCCCATTTTTTATTTATTTTGAATAGGTAATACAGTCACATGGTTCAAAATTTTAAATGTACTAATGAATATACAGTGCTATGTCTCCTCCCTCCCCTGTTCCCACCTCCTGGTTTCCCAGCACAGAGGCAACCAGTGTTACCCGTTTTTCTGATTATGCATATATGAGCAAACATGTGCTTAGAGTCTCTTCCCTCCTAAAACACAAATGGGAAGTGCATTACACACACTTTGCACTTTGCCTGTTTCACTGGAACATTATGCCTTATTGTATATAAAGAGATATAATTATTTTCATAGTTGCATAATTCTGCATTGGCAGGCTCTATAACCCAATGCTCTTGGGAAGGACATCTGTGTAGTTTCCAAAGCCCTGCTGTTTGCATAGCCACCCACAGTGCAGACCCCTGGAGGGCCCTGGCTCATTTGTATGCCCACACGTGACTGGACAGCCCCTAGCTTGGTGGCAAGGGGACCCTGGGTCCTTCTGCTTTTACCCTTGGTGCTCACCCAGCCTCCTGTGCTGACTGCTGCAGAGTATGGGGTCACTGGTCACACCCAGGGCCTAGCACACAGTGACCACAGCGCGTCACCCAGCACCACAAACCCACCCGAAAGTGCCTTCAGCTGCTACTGTTGCTATAGCAGTGCTCCACCAGAGGATGCAGGGCAGGTGAACACAGCCGGAAAGAAAGAACTGTGGGGAACCACACCCTGCCCCTGACAGGGATGCGGATGCCTCCTGCTCCCCTTATGTGACAGACAGCAGGGAACGGACAGGGATTTTTCCACTCAGATTCCATGTCCCTTGCACTTGGAGACTTCTACCGGCCTAGAGGCAGGAAAGGAGACCGAGTTGAGAGATGAGGGCTAGGGGAGCATCAGGGCAGAGGAACATCCACTCAGGGCTGGCACAGAAACGCCAAGATCAAAGAACAGGTAGGAAGAGGAGGTGGGGGCCTACGGAAGAGGAAGGAAGAGGGAGAGAAGGAGGACTTGGAGGAGAGGGAATGTGGGCCAAGGAAGCCCTGCCAATCCATCCCTGGATGTGGAGGCCTGCCAGTGACCCTGCCCTAGGCCCTCTAGGGACTATCCCCATTGCAGAGCTCCCACCCTCCCCTCCCAAGGAAGTGACTGGGGAGGCCCAGAAGAGACTTGGAGATGGCTTAAAAGGTTTGGGAAAGCCAGAAAACAAAAAACCAAAACCAAAATGTAACTCCTTCAAAACAGAAGTCTCCTGGGAAAAACTTGGTGTCACACCAGTCTCTCAGCTGGCCGTTTGTCTCCTCTCTGGGATGGGAACCAGCAGATCTGGTTCAACAGGTCAACAAAGCTGCTCCCCTCCCCACACACCCTGGCCCTGGGGTCCCTGGCCACCTTCCCCATCCCAGGGGCCAGCTAGTTGTGAGAGAAGCCCCCGTGGGAGAAGGCAGGGACGTCAGGGGCACAGGAAGCAGCCTGGGGGAGGCAAGCCAGGGGGTTGACCTCACAGTCCCCAGCATCCTGGTCTCCCTGGAAGTAGATGGAGTCTGCAGAATCGAAGGAGGGGTCCTGGTCAAAGAAGTTGTAGGGTCGGAGGAAGAAGCCCACACCATTCCCCACGGTCACTGTGTTGGGAATGTCCTCTGCATGTGGAATGTGCAGGAAACCAGCTGTCACCCAGGCCACCAAGTCCTAGCCGGGGGGAAAACAGAGGGTCACGAAGCCTGGTTTTGCAGAGGACATACCTGCCTCCCACAATAGTTATTAGGATTCACCTTGTCAGCCCTTCTTCAAACATTTTTTCTCAGTGGCCCAGAGGTGGAAGCATAAATAGTCAATTTCATTTTGGGAGTAACACCTACCTCCCTGTTGCGGCCTCTCTCCCCAGACCGTAGCCCTCCAACCCCACCCCCGTCAGCTGACCTCTCCAGCAATGGTCTCATTGTTGATGAAGCCCGTGAAGTCCACAGTGGGAGCCCAAGGGTCGTACTGATTGTAGATGCTGGTGCTGCTGGGCTCCTCCTCCTTCCGCTGGGTCACTGCCAGCTGGTACCTAGGGAGGCACTGGTCAGGTCTCCATGGTCACTAACCCCATCCTGCTGCATGGTCACATTGGAAGTGGGCTGAGCGCAAGGACATCAGCTTTCCCAGCTCATGCTCACAGCGATTCTGATGCTGCCCTGGTGGGCCACTCGACATCTTTCCCAGTCCTCCTGTTCATCCCTCTGTCATTTCACAGTGTGGCCCTTCCCCCACCACAAACAGAAAAGGGTCTCCACCAGGAACATGTGCCCACTGCATGCCTCTATTAACCAGAAATTCATCCAGAGCCCTTACCGCACCTCGCCTAGTTTGAACTGAGTTCCCAATTACCCCTCTGAATTCTCCCTTCCCACTTTCACCTCCCCCAGCTGCTCTCTGACCCTTCAGCACTCACCTCCCCCAGCTGAAGGCGCTCTCCATGGAGCTGTTCTGGGGCAGCGGCTCCCCAGCAAAGCTGAGCATCTGAATGCGGTAGCCCCGAGGGTGACCCCACTTGTTGCTGTGGTTGCTGGCCAGGTACAGGTAGCGGGGTGAGGCGCCTCCCAGGGGGAAGGCAGCCTGCTCCTCTGTCTCCAGCAGCTTCCGGGTCACCTGCAGCCTCTGCATCTGGTGCTCGGGGCTCCAGGGTACCGCCATGGGGACAAAGGCCATGTCCTCAGCCCAGACCCAGTTCTCCAGTCCTGCTGGGGCAGGGGTCACGGTGGGAGGGAGGGCTGGTCACACAGCTGCCCTGCCACCTCTGGACTCTGCCCCCACCTGGCTCCAGAGTGGGGGCCACAGAGAAGCCCAGAGCTGAGTGTGCCCCCTGCTTCTGTCCCCTCTCCCCAAGATATCCCTAATCTTCCAGTGAAACTGTTGATCTTTAAAATATTTCTTCAAAGATTTCATTCATTTATCCTTCACACTCATTAGTGGAGAGGCCTGTACTAGGCCCTGAGGCCACACAGATGAACGAAGCATAGTCCTTAGCTCCCTCTCTCACAGAGGGTGCAGAAGGCAAAGTCCCAACTGGCCTGCAATAACATGAGAGCACATTCAAGGTTCCAGGTTGTATGAATACAGGTGCAGGCAGCATCAGCAGAGGTGACATGGCAGGGCACTCTAGGCAGGGATACAGCATGAGCAAAAGCCTGACTGTGCCACATGATGCATGTGCCCAGGGACAGGAGGGTGTGGGTGGGGCCAAAGCAGCACATGGGGAAGCATTTGAAAGGCATGTTGGAGCTGCATTCTGAAGAGAGGGAACCTTGCAGGCCCTTCTAAGAAAGAGATCTTATAAGTGATGGGGGAAGTGGTAGCTGTAGGAGGCAGCAGAATGGCATGGGCTGGTGGGTCCCTCTGGGCACAGAGTGGACCTTGGAGGTGAGAGGAAAGCAGAAATAGCAGAGAGATGCCTGGCACCAACAGGGGAATGGCAGTGGGGCCCAGCAAGGGGTGTGCAATATATCAGAGGCACAAAAGAAGAAAATCTGATTAACTCAATGTGGGGAAGGAAAGTGAACAGACAGACTCCAAGACTGTCATGTATCTTTGGCTCTCTCTGTGACCAACTCCAGGAGCTATCTGGAAAGTTCCACAGTATTCATTCTACCCCTTGCATTTGGTGTATTATGCTCAGAAAGAGATGGAAAATTAGGAAGGAGGAGGGCCTATCTCCCAAGGAAATGTACAACCTGGAGTGTTCCATGACTGGCCTACATGTGCCAGGGACTTGGCACAATGCAAGCAGATCCTCCAAAATGCCAGCACAAGCCAGACACAGAGAAATGAAGTGAAAATCAAAGGGCTGCCTCCCTGCGCTGAGGCCCATGGGAGTGCAAGAAGAGGAAAGGGCAAAGGGAACCCTTTTAGCCCAGATCCTGCCTCTTCCCTGAGCTTTGCCATTTCCCAGGATTTTCTGAAGAGGTCCCCTGGAGGGAGAGTGACAGCTGTGCACCCAGCCAATGAGCTAAGATCCAAATAAAATTCAGCAGCCAAGTCTCCCATCCAGCAAGAGGAAACATGAACTCCCAAACTGCATACTCATGCTCAAATCTTCATTTCCTGGATAAACTCCATAAAACGCAAAGCAAACAGACAATTCTTCAACCCCCTCTTCTGGAATCCTTGTGCCCCCCAAGCATGTCTTACCTCCTACATCCAGATCTACCTTGAAGTGGGCACTGTGGGTGTGGACAGTGCCCAGCGTGTGTTCCCCAACCTGGTTCCCATACTTCCGGGCAGCACCAAAGAGGAAAGCTGAGCTGATGTAGCCTGTGGCATGGAATCTGACTTCAAGGGCCCCACTGGGGTGGAAGATCATATCCCACACATAGTCATAGTTGAGCAGAGTAGACACAGATCTGATGACCAGCACTGTCTCTGTAAGGCCCCCAAAATAGTGGGAGTAGAAATCTGAGTGGTGTCGCCTCAGGGGGAGACCCTGGTTCTGTTCAAACACGCAAAAGGCATCATGTATTGTCTTGGGGGCCTGGGACTCCAAAAGGAAGTGCCAGTCCACATAAGTGGCCAGGTAGGGACAGTCCACCCCACGGGTCAGAGGCGTGGCGTACTTGCCCAAGCCAAAGCTGCCGTCCATGTAGCGGGTCAGCATCGCCGCGGGGGAGTTGCCACCATAGACGGTCAAGGCCTCCTGGACGCTGACTTCATAAGCTATTCTCTCCCCCTGGAAGCGGATGTCAAAGACCCTTGGGCCACTGAAAGCTCCGAGGCCAAAGGAGAAAGTCCACAGTGAAGAGGCCACTCGGCTTCCCTGGACACTGAAGCGGGGGCCCTGGGGATAGAACTGCAGTGGGGGAGCCGGACCCTGGGGAACGTGGGACTTCAGCGACCAGGACCCACCCGTGCCATTGTCTGGGATCAGCAGCACATTCACCAGGCCGGCCTCAAACTGGTCCTCCAGCTGAGCCAGACTCTCATAGTAGCGGCCTTGAAAGAACACCTTCTGGATGGTCCAGTGGGCAGGGTCCAGGGCCTTGTGGTCGACCAGCAGCTCCAGCCCCACGGGGTGCAGATAAATCCCAGCCCCTGAGATGTTGTAGTAGAGGCCCAGCCAGGTAGCCCGGTCCCCCGACTGCAAACCAGGGGGCGCTGTGATCATCATCACCAGGTTGCCTCCTTGGCGTTTGTAGAAGCAGCAGTGGTGCAGAAGCCCAGCAACCTGAGGCAGCTCTCTGCGGAAAATCATCTGGTCTATGTCCTGGTACTCCCGGAGCCGCATGGGGCGTCGGTGATAGGGCAGGGGGCCCCCGTGACGCTCCAGGGTCACATCCCGCATGTAGGTGGGGTGCGGCAGAGGCCCCACCACCAGCTCACTCACGTTGGGCTGGGCTTGTCCACCAAATAAGACGATGGCCAGTGCCTCCCGGGCAGGTGGGGGTCTCCCTTTGTCCAGATGGGCCAGGGCTGCAGCCTTGGGGGGCAGCTGCAGCTCCACCGAGAAGACACAGTTGTCCGAGGGGCGGGCCTGGGCTGCATCCACCAGGCCAGGGCCCAGCTGCTGGGTCAGAAAGCTCATCACAGCCATCAGCTCCTCTTGGCCCAGGTCTGCAAACAGCTGGCTCTGGCCTGGGTGTGTCCAGGGCTGGGCACTGGGAGGTACAAAGGGGCAGCGGGGAGGCAGGCTGGGTTCATCCCCATCTCCACCCCTGCCAGCTAGCAAAACACACACCAAGACAAAGATAGTGATGACAGCCAGAGCAAGGAGCACCAGGGTGGTCTTCTGATTCATTGTCCTGTGAACAGAGGGACAGAACCGGGGTGGAGACGTGTGTTCTTAGGCCAGCTGAAGAAGGTCTCTCTTGGCTCCTACACTGGGGAATCCTGAACTCTGGCTAAGGTTCCCAATATTCAGACACAGAGAAGAAAGAGGGTGGGAAGACCAGCAGGGTGGGGCAGGCTGGGGTTGGGGGCGGTTCTGAAGTACGGCAGGAAACGATTTCCACAGACCTTACATGGCTTTGTCGTCCAAGCTCCAAATCAGAGTCTGTTCTCTGGGTCAGGGTTGGAACTGGAGAAAGCTGGGATCGGGGGAGGGAGGGGGAGCAGATTTCAAAATAACGCAGCTGACCAGCCTGAGCCTGGAAATGTAGCACCAGCTCTGAGCTGGGTGTGCCCAGAGCAGCCCCTCATCTCTCTCAGTCCTGCTTCTTCTCTGTCCACATGTTCCTTTCCTTATAATTTGGAACTATTGTTCTCCTTCCAAGGAAGTCCCCACCCCCAGCCCTTCAGCTTCCCAAGCGGCATTCCTTGGCCAGGTCTGTCCCTCTTGCCCTCTCCTCCAGGGCTAATTTCCTTGGCCAGAGTCCTTGATATTCTTGAGAGATCCTATATACTTGAAATGTCAGAGAAGAGATTCAAGTAAAAATCTGGTAATACTCTTTTATTATAAATTACACATACCATCTATTTTCACAAAATCCTATCTATTCTTCCATTTCAAAGCATGTATGTAAAGAAATGTTTGGTAAAACATTCACTGAATGTGAGCACTAGCTATTTGAGTGGTAGGATTTGTGGTGTTTTTGTTTGAATATTTTAATAGTAATAATATCATTTGTATAAACTCATCATTTTAAGAAAATGAACTGGAGATAAGAATTAACCAAAAGGATATATGGGGGTTTAGTGTGGGAGGAGGCTGTTTCCTAAGACACATTTAAGAGGGGGAGTCAAGGAGACAGGAAGTGGGACTAGAGAAGAAGGTACATGTTTCAATATTCCCCTCCGTGTCCCACCACACCCCCAGAGCTAAAAGCCTTGGTAAGAGAAAGGGGGCAGGTCTGGGACACAGGCTGCCAGGTGGGGGATACAGGCCACAGGGTTGACACTGCAGAGCCCAGCATCCTGGCCCTTCTCAAAGTAGACGCTGCCAGGGGAGAAGATGGAAGGGTCTTCATCAAAGAAGTTATAGGGTTGGAGCAAGAAGCCAACTCTGTTCCCCAGAGTCACCGTGTTGGGGACATCCTCAGCGTGGGGAATGTGCAGGAAGCTGGCTGTAACCCAAGCGACCAGGTCCTGGAGGAAGAGGGAGGAGCTGGGGGACTTTGGAGGCAAGATCCAGAGAACCACCCCTCAGCCACAAGCAACAGCTTCCAGCCTTAGGCCTGCTTCAACCTCCACATAGCTCCTGGCCAGCATAATAGGCACGGTGATCCATGCGACGGATGGTAGGATGGACAGTGTCCCAGGGCTAATCTCACTCTAGGAGGTATGACCCATGTTCATCCTTGACCTCCAAATCTGAGAATTAGAAACCTACCATTCCCTTCAACCTACAGCCAGGGCCTGGGCAGCCAAGACACCATGTGCTGAGGAACCCCTCTCCTCTGCCCCCAAGGCTACCAACCTCTCCTAAGAGGGTCTCATTGTTGATGAAGTCAGCAAAGGCCACAGAGGGTGTCCAGATGTCATTCTGGTAATAGATGCTGCTGCTCTGTGACTCCTCCTCTTTCCTCTGGGTCACCACGAGCTGGTATCTGACCAGGAAGGTTGTAGGAATGTAAGGTCAGAAAATGTCAAGAGCCTTTACTGGTCTAGAAGCCATTTACATCAGATTCTGCATGAGACCATTTCCCATCCCACAGCTACTTGGATCTGAGAGGAGGTACAGGGGTGAGGGGTAAGCCACAAACAGTGAATTGGGATCTCCAAGAGCTGGGTTGGGTAAGAGGACCAGTCCTTCCCTACCACCCACTGCCCAGAGCCCTCCTCACCTCCCCCAGCTGACGGCCCTCTCCATGTCACTCTCCAGGGGCACGTGTATGCCAAGGGGGCTGTGGATCTGGATTCGGTACCCGCGCTGGTGACCCCAGGCATTAGTCTGGTTGCTAGCTAGGTAAAAGTAGCGGGGAAGGGGGCTTCCCAGGGAAAAAGCTGCCAGATCCTCCCTTCCCAGGACCTGACGAGTCAGCTGTGGGCGCTGCAGTTGGTGCTCTGGACTCCAAGGCACTGCCACAGGTTTAAACACCACGTCTTCCACCACCACCCAGTTTTTCAGCCCTGCCAGGATGAGGGAAGGGAGAGGATTTCCACACCAGGTTGAGACAGGTCCCTTGTCTTCCCCACCATGCCCACTGCACTGGTCTGACAAAGAGCAGAGAGCACTCTGTGCCAGGATCAAGGTCTGGACTGAAGGTCAGCCCATCTTCTTCCAACCTGCCCTGCCCAATACAGTTTACAGCCAATCAGGTAGACTTTTCCATTTAAATTAAAATAATTTCCTCCGTCACACTAGCTACATTTCAAGTCATTGATGGCCACATGTTGCTAGTGGCTAACGTACTGGACAAGGTAGAGAGCATTTCCATCATTGCCAAAGTTCCATTAGCATGGATCTACCCAATAGACCTTGGACCAATTCTTTGCTTCTCCAATTCTCACTTTATAAAGGAACCTCTACACTGGACATAAAAGCTGTTCTATGGCAGAGCTCTGTAAATGGAAAAGCACAAGCAGGTGACTGGGAACGTTCATCTATGAAAGGGGTATTTATCTTAGAGAAGCAGCTGGCTAGACATCCATGCTGCCCTTCATACTCCTCCCAGCTTGGAGACTTTGCTTTCTTTCTCAATAAAGCAGGGACCATCTTCGGTCTCTTTTGGGAGTAAATTTGTATCTTTAAAAATCCAGGAGCTCTCTGGGACCCTTATTGCATTCCTAGCCCACTTGCACTTATCATAGACTCCCTTTCTGCAGGGTTGTACTGTTTCTGTAAACAGGACCTAAACGAAGGTACCTGGCTCAGCCCCTCTGGTCCACAGCACTGGCTTCTGCTGCACATCTCAGGGATCTAATAAATGTTACTTGAATCTACTTTCCAAGGCTCTTTAATGGAAAAGAAGCTTCAAATAGGAAAAATCATTCCAAATATGTCAAAGAATCTAGTCAATATGCTTATTTCAGTCCTGCTTTTTCCTTAGTTCTCCCTCCTTTCTGCCCTCATATGAGCACAATCTTTGTACTCGAGGTTAAGAAAGCGCTTCACAAGAAATATGCTTACAGTGCATCTTACTCAGGCAGTTGCTTCCTGTCCCATCTTCCCTCCTCCTTAGTTTTCTTACTGTAAAACGGAGGGTCTGGTGGATTTCTAATTTTCTTTCTGGGCCTAATAGTCTGTGAACTGACAAAAGTCTACTGGGATCAAGCCTGCTTTGTGTTTGGACCTCTACTTGAGAAATCTCTTCCTACCCTTGCAGCAAGACTACCGCATGCCTGCCTTGTCCCAGTCGGCCCGTTGTAATGACACGCATTGGCAGGAATGGGATAACCTCCCCTAGATGGGGCCACCATCCTGTACCCCTTTGTCTGCAATCCTGTGGAATGCCAGCTGTTGCCCCCCCACCGTCTCAACCCCCATACCTGCTTTTACTCTGAAAACCTTAGACAGACTGCCACCTCCCTCTGCTCAGGCCCCTGCTTTCCTCACCTCTGTGGACCCTCAGAATTAGTTAGGGAAGACTTGGGACAGCCCCAACTCCAGCCTCACTAGTCTCAAGACAGGGCAAATTCACCACCTGCCTAGTCACTCAAGGCTAAGGCAGCCAGACACGGCCATTATATTTAAACTAGTTTCACAATGGCAGCAAGTCAGAGTTAGGAGATCAGGGCTAGGCAGGGGAACCCAACCTTTTGCCAGATCCCCAGTTAAGCCCAGTATTTCAGGCTGACTATAGTTAAATACACGAGTTTGTCCCTGCTCTGTGACCACAATTGTGGTATTGTAACATCACCCTCTTGCCTCTTCCGGCTTGATCTGCGGGCCTCCCTTCCCTCAGCTCCACCCCAAGTCTCAATCCTCATCCCGAGGACTCACCTGCCACATCCAGGTCCAGCTTGAAGTGGAAAGCATGTGTGTGCACCGTCCCCAGCACTTGTTCCCCCACACGGTTCCCAAAAAGGAGGCTTTCCTCTCCCCCACTCAGGAAAGCTGTGTTGATATAGCCCGTGGCATGGACCCGCCCCTCTAGCGCCCCATTTGGATGCATTACAAAGTCCCAAATGTAGTCATAGTTGCCTACAGATGACACAGACCTGACTACAAGGGCTGAGCTGGCCAAACCACCATAGAAATGACTCTCAAGGTGATTGTGATGCCTTCGGAGGGGTAGTCCTTGGGCCTCCTCAAATATACACACGGCCCCTGGGAGCAGCTGGACTGTCCCTTTGCCCACTAATATGTGGATGTCCACCATTGTAGACTGATAGGGGCAGTCCACTCCCCGCACCAAGCCCCGGCTGTGACGGCCAAGTCCATAGCTGCTATCCAAGTATCGGGTCATCATGGTCTTGGGTGAATCAGCACCATAGACAGACATGCACTCCTGAACACTGACTTCATACGCCACACGCTCACCCTTGAACCGAATATCAAAAATCCTCATGCCACTGAACACCCCATGGCCAAAGGTAAATGTCCAGAGAGAGGATGCCACCAGGTTCCCCTGCACAGTGTATCGGGAACCCTGGGGTGAGAACTGAAGAGGGGGAAGAGGACCTGGGGAGATCCGGGACCTCAGGGAGGAAGTGCCATCTGGCAGAGGTAGAGGAACTCTAACTACTTCCAGCTGGCCAGCTTTAAATTCCCATTCCAACTGGCCCAAGTCTGCATAGTAGCGCCCGAGGTAGAAAACCTGCTGGACAGCCCAACGGGCAGGGTCCAGGGCCCTGTGGTCCAGCAGTAGCTCCAGCCCCACTGGGTGAAGGAAAATCCCAACACCTGAGATGTTATGGTAGAGGGCTAGCCAGGTGGCACGGTCCCCTGAGCGCAAGCCTCTTGGGGTGGCTGGCACAGGAGCCAAAGTGGAGCCATTGTAGTTGAAGACAGAAGCCAGGAAGACTGGTGCCTTGGGTAACTCCACCTCCTTCAAGTGCTTCCATATCTGTACATACTCAGTTCTCAGCATGGGGCGTCGGTGATACGGCAGGGGGCCCCTGTGACGTTCCAGGGTCACATCCCGCATGTAGGTGGGGTGTGGTAGCGGCCCCACCACCAGCTCACTCACGTTGGGCTGGGCTTGTCCACCAAATAAGACGATGGCCAGTGCCTCCCGGGCAGGTGGGGGTCTCCCCCTGTCCAGGTGGGCCAGGGCTGCAGCCTTGGGGGGTAGCTGCAGCTCCACCGAGAAGACACAGTTGTCCGAGGGGCGGGCCTGGGCTGCATCCACCAGGCCGGGGCCCAGCTGCTGGGTCAGAAAGCTCATCACAGCCGTCAGCTCCTCTCGGCTCAGGTCTGCAAACAGCTGGCTCTGGCCTGGGTATGTCCAGGGCTGGGCACTGTGGGATACAGAAGGGCAGCGGGGAGGCAGGCTGGAGCTACCTTGGCTGGTCAGCAAGACAAAGGCCACGGCACAGATAGTAATGAGGGACAGTGCCAGGAACACAAGGACTACCTTTAGATTCATTGTGAATGCTGAGAGCTAAAATCAGAGTTCTACCAGTTACTGACATAAAATCAGGGTTTATATTCAGGAGGATGGATAGGAATGGAGAAAACTCCACCCTGTGGGTTGGACAGGAAATTTCTGACTTTAATTTACGTAATTCTGTTCCAATTTTCTGTTCTGTGGCTTGGCTCAAGGCATTACTTCCACGTGCAGAGCCTCTCCTCTGCCCCTGAACTCTTACCCATGTAATAGGCACTCTGATTTCCATCAGACCACATAAGAGAGCATTTGGAGCAACTCTGCTCTCTTTCTACCCAGAATGGGTCTGAGGAAGAATGCAAATCTCAGATGTCCCATCAAGTCCCATGTGTTACATGCAAGCACTGTGACCATCCATTTTCCTACCTCCTGGCAGGCACTAACCCCCAATATTCCCAAGATCCACTGCCCAGTTCAGCAGTAAGCACTGTTCTGCCAGCTGTCTAAGGACAAGCACTTGATTCATAGTCTCAGTCGTCTATCCAGTCAGTGCTAAAGTAGGAGTGGTGAGGGCCTGGGCTTAGCAGTCAGATCTGTACACAAGGCCCAGGTCCCTAAGCTGTGTGCCCCCAAGGGGAGTTACTTATCATCAGTCTCAGTGTATTCACTTATAAAGAAGGGATAAAACTACCCTACAGGTTCGTAAAGAGAAATGTGATTACGCACAAAGTGCTTAACGGAGTCTTACACGGGTAGGCATTCAAATATTGCTAGCTACCTATATCGACCTCTGAAACAGAACAGATGTTCCTCCACTGTTCAAGACCTTAAATCTCTTTTTGCAGAGACAATGAGGGGATCATCGGATGTCATACGGCTATTCCGCAAGGTAGAAATTGAGGAAACTTTATTTTAGGGGGAGCTAGGGTCCTAAATTGCCCTCCAAATCATTTGAAAACCAAAATCAGGAGTCCGGGTCATCTCCTCAAGAATTTAAGACATTATTCAGAGAGGAGACTTAGTAAAGGGTAAAGAAAATGACAGGATAGGGTCGGCCTCGAACCAGGTGATTCCCCACACATGGGACGAGAGCAGCCTCTACTGGCAGTCCATGGGCATCACTGGGGAAGGAAGGAACTGGGAGCTTGGGAGGGTGGGGACAGAAGGCAGCTTAGATCTGGCAAGAGCTACCTTTCATATAATTCAGACTGAACAAAAATGAAGGCCCCACCCTTACTTCTTGGTAGGCGGAAGCCTCAGTCTTTCTATTTTTCCAGAAAAAAGAGGCAGTTTGTTTGGTATAAAGACACCCACCAGGGCAGCTGAAGGGGTTATGTGGAGGTGGGTGTCGCAATGTGCACGCAAGTTGAGTAAGGGTATGTCCCTAGCCACCAGAGCATCGCACCATGGTCTGCAGCTTTAGAAAGAGGTCAAAGTACCTGTATTTTTAATAATTTCTTGACATGGTAAAAGAATTTTACATTACGATCCAAGGGAGGTAGGGTGAGGTGGAGCGGCAGTGGAACAATCCAACAAACAAAAGGGGAAACAGAAACACGTGGTGGGAGAAGGGAGGGGTTTTAGCTGGAAGGGATCTGGAGGGTGGGGAGGGGCACTGCCCAACTAAAATGCAATTGGTTTGTTACTGAGTACTATTCATGGGAAGACAGCATCCTGACTCCTTCTCTACAGCACACTGGGAGTAAAAATGACGCATCCAGGGGGAAGTATGATTGGGGATTGGAAGACAGAGACAGGAGAAGAATGTAAGTCAGAAACAGACACTGAGCGTCACCAGCAGGCTGAGTGCAGATATGCACTCTCCAGTATTGGTAGAACAAAACAGTGGGGTTTGATGAGGATTAACGCAAAAGTTGTAACAAGTGGTATCTCTGGAATATTCAAGAGATAGGAGGCAACTCTTCTATGGTTTTGACTTGCCCAGCAGATTGCCACATACACAATGTGTACATACATGTGCGCGCGCACACACACACACACGACTGCTTTCCCTGGAAGCACAATACTATAAATAAGAAATATTTTTCCCAAAGGGAAAGCCCAGCAGAAGTGGCAGCATCTGGACCTCCCAGACCACCCCCCAATTTCTAAATGGCCTGGGAAGAGGCAACCAGGAGTCAGAGGACCAGCTTTTGTAATAACACCAAAAGGACCCGAGTCACAGAGCAAGGGGCCTTTCTCAATCCCTCTGCTTCTCATCTCTTGGTTCTCCAACTCTCCAGCCTCTGGGCACCAAGAGGCTACAATATTGGGAGACAGTGGGCCCTGGGGGACGAGGATTAATACAACTATCACCTTCTGAACAGTGTGTGTGACAGGGTTTGGTGAGAGAAGTTCAGGTAACAGACTAGGAAGGCATGTGCGTGCATGTCCATGTGTGTGTGCATCACGCACATACATGTATGTGAAAATCATAGTTATAAAAACACCTGAAGGAGCTAGGGCCTTGGCTGAAGGTCTAAGGTGTTTGTCATGATCAGTTCAAGGTGAGACAGATGTAGATTGGAAACCCTAAATTATCACTAAGGCAACTGGGCCAGGGAGGATCCAATGTCCCAGAGTGGCAAGAGACACTAACTTTATATCAGGAAGAGAGGAGCTGCTCCCCCTGATCCCAATCCCTAGGAAACACCTAGCACTTTCCTGCCAGTTCCCTCAGCTTCTAACCAACTGACCATCAAAAGAAGAAAACACAAACCCCAAGACACAGGAGTGGAGGGGTGGGGGAGGGTAAGAAATACAAGTACTCTTGTGCCAAGATCCTGTGCACATAAACCTGGCGTTCTGCAGAAATTAGGACAGGCTGGGTGTGGGCTATTAGGGAAGGGAATAGAAGAGTTCCTGAGGCCTGAAAAAAGAGGTAAACACGTCACAGAACTACATGAGAGTTTCATTAGACGCTAACTAAAAACAGAGAGAGGTGTGATTACTATTTCCAGCCAGTTTCCCCATCACGATAGTCATGTAACAAACCAAGGCAATGTCGGTCTTGGGCCAGACTCACAGAGTCCCCTGGCCCCGGCCCTGGCCTCAGTACAGTGTCTCTGCATTGCTGCTCCGAGGCCGTTTGATCTTCTCAATATTTTTCAGGATCATGTCATGTAGAGTGACCTGGGAGAAGAGGGAACAGGGAATCACACATCTGTTTTACCCCTACCTCCCAAAGAAAATGAGACCCTCCCCACTCTGCAAATCCCCAAGCAATTATCTGCATAATCCCAATCTCACTCACTTGACCTAATATCAGGGTAGCTGCCCTCTTACACCCCAAAATTGGGTACAGCTATTTCAAAGGCCTTAAGTGTCTAATAACCACTAACAGTTACAGAGCGCTTAACGTACCAAGAATTACACTGGGTCTTGTACTGTCTCATTCATTTTAAAATGTGCAATAGTACTCTGCTATAAGTTCCCTTTTAGAGATAAATAAACTGAAGTTTGAAGTTAAACTTGCCCAAGGGCACACGTTACAGTAGAGCTGGTTCTAAACTTAAGTCTGTCTGTCTTTAACACCAACGTCTTCACTCCTACACTGTTTTGCACTCCTCCCCATCTAGGAAGAAATAGGGAAATACCCTCAATGATTTAATATTTCTTAACACTTTGGTTGATGAGCACAGTTTCTTCTACTCATTTTACCTCTGTCCTCCATCTTGACCAACCCCCAGAGAGTGTGGAAGAAAATTATCACCAGAACTAAGAGAAGCCAGGGCACCTGTAGGCAGGGACCGAGGTTGCTTACATATTGATTCCTTAGCTCTGATATGATGAGCCGAAGGCTGATATATTCTTTCTCATCAATCTCTGTCACGGTGCGGCGATAGTCCTCCTGAAAGGAGAGGCAGAGAAGAGGCTAGATCCCAAGGTCTGACTGTCCACAGACAGCTCTTTCCCAGTAATACTCACTTGTCCCGAGCCTACCACTTCCACCCTCAAGCCACAAAACCCTTACTTACCACATGGGGATATTTAGCTATTTTAGAAACCAATTTGGCTCTCGTAATATAATATCTAGGAGAGAGAAGAGGAGGAAGCTGAAGGAGACCCTGGACAGTGTTAACTACCTCAAAAGCCCCCAATTCCTGGGCCATACCCAAGAAGCCCTACCTAGAAATCTGGTCCAGATAAGATGCAGCTTCACTCTCAACAGTTCTTAGTTCGGCAACTGTCTCCTCCTGAAAACAAGTGAGACAAAAGTCACTCTGTCACCCAAGAGCAGATGAAAGAGAAAGAGGAAACGGACAAAGCAGGGGAGATCAGAACTTCTCCCAAACTTTCCTTTCCAGTGTGTTAAGACAGACATGTTACCTGAATGGACACCCCAAAGTTGTTTCCATCTTCTATCCTGGGAATCAGGAGCTGTACCCACATTTTGACCTGGAGGGTGAGGGAAGCAAAAATTATATATATATGAGGACCCTGGCCTTGTCCGCTAAAGTCACAAAGTATACAATTCAGGCTGCTGAAGCCAGATGCCAGAAGCACAGGTGTCAAGATACTGAGTCTGCCAATTGTTACATCACCTCTATGCCTCCAATCCCACGTCCATCATTTTTCATACTTCAAGCCAGGCTATTTGGGGTTAGCCCATAGGTCATAGCCCCTGCCTCACCGTGTTGCATTTCTCGATCAGCAGCCGGATCTCAGGTTTCACTTTCTCAATAATGTCGACCAGCTGCTGGTTGCTTTTTAGCATCCCATTGGGCATCACAAACACCTTGGTTCCTGGCAGGGATAAGAACATCAAATGACTGGAGTGGGGTAACAGGACAGAGCATCCCCCACCTTTCTCTCTTCTTCCCAAGGCCCACGAGATGCTATGACATCTGCCTTTTATCTCTCACAACCCTAACAAACTATGACACCACCAAGAGAATCAAAAAGAGAGACTGTATAGATTAACTAATGAGGGTCTGAAGAACAAGGAAATTAAAACATGCTCTAAAGACAAGGGATCACTATTATGGACAAGGAAAAAGTATCATACTGAGACTGAGACTTCGGTGAAAAAAACTGATGTGTAGCCACCTCTAACCTCTCTCCTTTGGCAGTCCACACTAATTTAAACACTCCCAGTTTGTTGGAAAACTACTGTCTAGGGGACTAAATAATGACCATGTTCAGCAGGCTTGGGAATGCTAACTCTGGGAAATAAAATCAGATCCTGCTTCCTGTCCAGAACACCAGATCCATCCTAATTCTTAGGGATGCAAGCCAGAGGGTAGGTGAGATGGGTGGTTCTTACCCTGAAAGGCCTCTTCACACTCATCCAACCTTCGTTTCTTATAAGTGGGCTAAGGATACAAAGTGACAGGAATTAGCCTGCTCTCCACACCCATATCCCCATCACAAGATACCCTTAAAGCAAGTTTAATTCCTTCCCTGACCCCATGGGTTGCCTTACTAATTTATGCACAATTTACCAAGCACATACAGGGCATTAAGTTCCATAAGGTGACTTATACTCCAGCTGGAAAGAGCAATCTTTCAAGAAATGTAACATATTAAGTCATTAGGGGATAGGGGTGGATACTACATACAGTAAAAAACGAACCACTCAACACAGGATGTGGATAATTGAGGGAATGTGAACAAATCTGTGTTATCGTTCCACAAAATAACACAATATTCAATCAACAAATATGTATTTAGAAACTGCTATGTACCAGGAATAGTGTTAGGTGCTGGAGACACAAAAATGATTAAGACAGGTTCTGCTTTCCAGAAATCCACGTTCTGTCAGTGAGACAGTAATGCCAATAAAGGACAATACAGGGTGTTCAGTGTTAAAAAAAAGAATGTGGGCATATAACTGATAAGGACTAGGGGACTGCAGTTATATAGCAAGAACTATTCATCCCATAACAAGACTCAAGACATTGAACCACCTAAGAAAAGTCTTGCTTAGAGTCACAAGAACAGACCAGATAAACCCAAGGGAACCTGCAGCTATTAGTCCTATGTGAAACTTAACTCTAACACAGAGTAGCCTGAGCAATATTCACCTCATACTATAAAGGAAAATCAGGGTCTAAAGGGGGCATATTGGAGTCATCATGTCTGTAAGAATCCTTCTTCCCAGATTCCAATCCCACTGCCACTGTCTCCTCTGCACATGGTCAAACTGAGCAGAGAACAGAGGGCAGAAAACCTTCAAAACACAAAGATAAGTATGGGATACTTACACCATCCAGTCCATCGTGGCTGTTGGTGAGAAGAATGGGGTCAGGGACTGGGAGATTCATGTCTGAGTGGATCTGAGTTAAGTCATGGATGTTTAGGATTGGTTCCTGAAAGAGAGACATCCACCCCCAAAAACAACATTAGCCTTTCAGAATGAACAAAAAAGTATTTCATTTGAAGGGCAAGAAATACGGGTGCTCCACAGCGCAAGACAAAACAGAATCAACATATGATTTGTCCCATTTGACAGAAAGACCGGGGCCAAAAAAAAAAACTGGAGAATTTGAGGAAAATAAAAGGGTCTCTCACCTTCAAAAAACTATCAAGTTCTAACAACTTCTTTGGGAAAAAATTTGCCACCAAGTCTTCTGCCTAAAGATGATGGAAAATACAGCTATATTAATAACTGTGGGAAGGTCTCTCTTTAGGGTTCTCTCTTCTCTGGGGGACTCCCAACTATAGCCAACACTCATTTTTCTATTTATTTCACTCACCTCACTTGTGATCCGCTCCCTGAAAGAATCAACCTAAAATTAACAAAGGGAGCAACTCAGTAACTGGTAACAGAGGTAACGGCAGGATAGGAAAACCCAAATCCATCTATCTTTCCCTCACCTTGCAATTGTAATGAGAAGCTGAGAGGCCCCCAGACTGCAAATACTTAATTTTTTTGAGGACCCATTTCTCCATCTCAGGAGAGGCAAGTGGGGCTTGAGGGCAGCACCCACCTGTCTTCTCTCCCTCCCTCCCAATGTCTGAAGCTGTCTTAATTTGAGAGCAGACAAAAGAGATGTACATAGGGGAGGTGTGAGCTCATAGACGTGCCAACTCCCACCCAGACTTGGCCTATGATACGAGAAAGGCCTGACTCCAAGGGCAGGGGTAGTGGCAGAGGCAGTGTCCGGAGGCGGGGACGGTGCTGGGCTGGGAGACTTCCAGCTGTCACTAGTCTAAAGCACTGAGTCCACCACGTGTCCGCAGAGGTCTTCCCATAGCTCTCCACTACGATAAGGGGTCCAGAAGGCTACCTATATTATCCTCTCCTTCGATGCAGTCTCCGGGAGTTGGGGGCTGGGCTGAGTCAAACGGAGGCTCAGAGCTGGTGTCCCCATGAAGACAAAGGGCCATGGGGAGTGGAGAGCCGGACAGACCGCTCGGGGATCATAGGGAGGGGTAAAGAGGCCCGGACCAGTGCCGCTACCTTGAGCTTCACTTCCTGATCCACCTTCAGCAACGAGGCCATTGCCGGGCCGGGCCGTGTCCGTTCCGCTGGAGACCGGAGGCGCTGTGGGCTCCGGGGAGGGGGTCAGAGGGACGGGAGGAATCTCGGCTGCTCTCGGGACGCGGCCGCCCTTGCTGGCTCACTCACTCCTCTGCCTGCCGTGCGCCCGCCTGCCTGCCGCCTGCTCCCTACTCGATCTCTCGCTAGACCTCCCGGCTTTCGCCCCACACGCCGGAATTACGTCACAGCCAATCGCCGGGACTCCTGCTAGGATCGCGCACGTGCCTTGCGCAGCCGCGCTGAGGTTCGTCTCTAGTGGCTCCGGGCCGGGCTCTTGTCTGCCGGGTTCCTGTGCCCTGTGAGAGGAGGGCAAGGATGGGTGGTTTACTGAGAACTGAGACTCGGGAACTGTTTGATTCTCTGTTAGCCCGGCGCTAGCTGTCATCGAAGGCACTTTCTGGGCCGCTGCCACCTCGAGGACAGGACTGACGACCTCGTCGCGCCCCAGTGACGTAGGCCCGAAGAAGCTGGTGGTCCCGGCAGTGGGTTCGGGTTCCAGTCTGCGACTCCTGCTGCCTCCTCCCGTTGGCCGAAGCTCCAGTGTTAGGCTAGAGCCAAACAGAAGACGAGTTCGTTGTACCAGACTTCCCCAACCTTCCCCCTCCACTTATTCTCCTACACTTCCAGACCTCGGAGATCAACTGCTTAATGGGCAAATTGACACCCCGAGTAGTGCTTGTCCAAGGCTTCAGTGTTTCCAGTACGTGGACCAGACCCCGGATCTCCGGACTTACAGGATATGCTAGGATACATTTTTCTAATGGAAGGCAGAGACCATATTTTCACTCTCCCATTCATTTGGTCCCCCTCTTAACATTGGTTATTTAGCTTAATAAAATGGGCGGGGACGCTGCTAGAAATATGTGAGTTACTGATGTATGTTAAAATCTAGTAGCCACGTTAAAAAGTAAAACAGGTGAAATTCATTTTAATTATGTATTTAACCCAGTTTATCCAAATATTATCATTGCAACATATAAGCATTGAAATCTTATTATACATTCTTTTCTCATAACGACGTCTTTGAAATCCAGTATGAATTTTACACTTACTTAAGAGGTGCCACATTTGCAGTACTCAATAGCCACATGTGGCTTAGTGGCTCCCACATTGAGCAGCACAGCTCTAGGAAATCAAAGGTAAACAAGATTCAAAAGTTCTCTGATCTCTTGGGGTTTAATACTGGGGAAGGACACCAGAAAATAAACTGATAGCATAATTGCAAAATTTGATAAACATTAGGAAACAAATGACTGATGTAGAGAATACCAAGCATCTATTTTAGGTTGAATGGCCGAGGAAGACCTCTCAGATAAAGTGACAAACTGATGTCTGAAGGATGTAAAGGGGTTAGCTTGGGAAGAGTAACGGGGAAAGCCTTAAAGGTATAGGACAGCACAGGCAAGTGCCCTGGGTAAGGAAAGAGGTTGTCCTGTTGAAGAAATTGAAAGACTAGTTAGGGAACTGGGGGCAAGGGTGGGAGTAGGGTGAGGAGGGTTAGCAAATAATTTGGTTAAGTGCAAAGGCAGATCATTGGATTTACATTTTGGGGTTGCTCTTGGCAGCTGAGCATTTATTCTGGGCGGACCTCTGCTAACTGCAAGAGAGACGGTGGCAACATGCAGTTAAATGAGGTATGACTATGGGCTTTGGAATTAGGTGTGGCTTTAAATCCCACCTCAGCTCCTTACTGTGATATCTTGGGATAATTACTGAACTGCCGCATCTCAATTCCCTCATCTGTAAAGTGGAATTTAAATAATTATTAATAAATAATATGTTATTGTGTAGGGTTTTGTCAATGTTGGAAATCATATGTATATAAAAGAACTAGCAGTGCCTGGATACAAGGCAGGCACTAGGTAAAGAGCAGCATTTGTCAAATAAGCTACCTGTTAGTGCTTAGCATGAAGAGATTACTTCTTAAACTATATAATTATTATCTCTGCTTTCAAACTGAGAGTCCTTTTCCACCTATTCAAGGCTGTATACAACATAGCCCATATACCCATCTTTCTACCAGTTTTCCCCCTTTTACTTCTGCTTTCTGTTAATACTTGTCCTTAGTAACTTTTGAACTCTGATCTGGAACTTAACTTCAGGAATGTTTTCCCAAATTAGCTTTATCCTATTTTAAGGATGCCATTATCTTGCATTTCTTTCAGAATTAATAACTTTAACTTGAAAACTTAATGTGTTTGTGCTTGTTGAACTATGGATTTGTTCTCAAATAATTGTGTTTTGTCTTCTTCAAGTAGATTGTAAGAAAACAGATACTCATTTATTACCCTTCCTCCTCCTCATCCACATGTTTTATATAATACTCCACTCATTTGTTTATTTATTCATTGAACAGTTGCTGAGAGTACCACTATGGTCAACAAACTTTTCATTTCTGGGTGAATCAAATGTGATCGCTGATGACTGGTCTTGCTTTAAATTCATGTACACAAATCCCAAATGGATGCACAGCACTGCCTGAGAAACTATTTCATGCTCCTAATGAGTTTACACGCTACAAATGACTGTCAACTTTCTCTTTTCCTTAAATCTCCTGTATTCTTCACATCCCACCTCCCATTTATGGTCTTGGTTCATTTTTCATTGAGATAACAAGCAAATGAGAGCTTCTCTCATCACCAAATTTGTAATTCTTTCCGCTTTTTTCCTCTTTCACTGAAGGAACCACGCTTTTCCCATCAAAAACCAACTCTTTCTTTTGTGCATGGCATCCCATCCCCTTTCACTTTCTCAAGGTCTGTGCTCCAATGATATTATTTTTCCTACATTTATCCCTCTCTACTGGATCATTCCAAACATGACAAATATCTCTCTCTCATTTTTAGAAAAACCCTCCCTTGAACCCAGGTTCCTATCACTCCATTTCTGTGCTTTTCTTCATGGCAAGACTTCTTGAATGATAATATTGTCTCTTACTCTACTTCCTAATCTCCCATTTACTCCAGTCTACTCCAAACAGGCTTTCCCACCCTATATTCTGAGATAGTTCTTGTTAGGTTACCAGTGACTTCCAGCACCAGGGATCATTTCTTTTCATCTTGAACTTCTCAGTGGTACACAACACATTAACTACTCCCCCTTTTAAAATTAAGGTATCACTGATATACAATCTTATGAAGTTTTCACAAGAGCAACATTGTGTTTCAACATTCACCCATACTATCACATCCCATCATTGCAATCACTGTCCATCAGTGTAGTAAGATGCTGTAGAGTCATTACTTATCTTCTCCATGTTATTCTCTACCTATATTGTGAGTGCTAATTATAATGTCCCTTAATTCCCTTCTCTGTCCCTCCCACCCACCCTCCCCAACCTCTTACCTTTAGTAACACTAGTCCCTTCTTGGAGTCTGAGTCTGCTGCTGTTTTGTTCCTTCGGTTTTGCTTTGTTGTTATACTCCACACATGAGTGAAATCACTTGGTACTTGTCTTTCTCTGCCTGGCTTATTTCACTGAGCATAATACCCTCTAGCTCCATCCATGTTGTTGCAAATGGTAGGACTTTTTCTTATGGCTGAATAATATTCCATTATGTATACGTACCACATCTTCTTTATCTAATCATTTATTGATGGACACTTAGGTTGCTTCCATATCTTGGCTATTGTAAATAGTGCTGCAATAAACAAAGGGGTGCATATGTCTTTTTGAATAAGGGATCTTGTTTTCTTGGGGTAAATTCCTAAGAGTGGAGTTTCAGGGTCAAATGGTATTTCTATTTTTAGTTTTTTGAAGAACCTCCATATTGCTTTCCACAATGGTTTAACTAATTTATATTCTCACCAACGGTGTAGGAGGGATCCCCTTTCTCCACATCCTCGCTAGTATTTGTTGTTTCTTTTCTTTTGGATGTTGGCCATCCTAACTGGTGTGAGGTGGTATTTCATTGTGGTTTTAATTTGCATTTCTCTGATGATTAGCGATGTGGAGCATCTTTTCTTGTTCCTGTTGACCATCTGTATTTCTTCTTTGGCGAAGTGTCTGTTCAGATCCTCTGCCCCTTTTTTAATCGGGTTATTTGTTTTTTGGCTGTTGAGGTGTGTGAGTTCTTCATATATTTTGGAATGTTAACCCCTTATCAGTAAGTTGTTTATTCTCGCATGCCTTTTTGTTCTGCTGATGGTATCCTTTGCTGTACAGATGCTTTTTAATTTGATGAGCTACCCCCCCGCCCGTATGGCAACCTGTTCTTCCAATGTTTCTTTAAACTCAGTGATGACTTCTTCATTTCCTTTGCTGGCTCTTCCTCCATTGCTCCACTTCTTAATGGTGTTATGCCCCAGGGCTCAGTCGTATGTCTTTTATTCTTCTCTGGTTACACTTTCTTCCTAAGAACAAGCTTACCCATGTTCATAGTTTTAAATACTATCTGTATGCTGACATCCCAAAATTAATATCTCCAGTTCTGACATCTTCATTGAGCTCCAGTTGTCTATTTGACATTTCTACTTGGAGAGCAGCTAGTTGGCATCTCAGACTTAACGTAGCTAAACCAGAAACCTTGATTCTCCCATATACCTGTTATTTTCCTGCTCTTCCTCATCTCAGTACCCAACACAACTATCCACCTAGATGTTCAGATCAAACACCTAACCATCAACCTTGATTCCTCTCATTCCCTCATCTCCCCACATCCAAGCAATCAGCAGGTCCTGCCAGCTTTACTGGTACAATGAATCCTATGAGAGTATGCTTTCTCCCTCTCCTCACCTGTTATCCTAGTCAAAACCTCTGTCACCTTTGCTAGGACACTTACACTAGACTCCTATCTGGCTTCTTCACTTTAATTCTTGCCACCAACCCCCACTACCACATTCTATTCTCAGCACCTAAAATTATCTTCTAAGACATCATCCATGGCCATGGCAGTAACCACTAAAGTTGAATAAGTTTTATGTATGTGTATAACCCAGAAATCCCAACTTTAAGGAAGTACAAGTATACTCACCAAAATGAGAATGTTCACAGCAACACTACTCAAAATAGCCCCAACTGTAAACTACCCAAATACTACTTTCAGTAGTCAAGATGTCTTGACTACTCTCAACAGTAGGATAGAGAACTAAATTTTAATATATTCTCATGATGGAATACCTCACAATATTGAGAATGGATGAACTAAAACTACACACAAGACAGATGAATCTTGCGAATGATATTGAG